GTCACAGGGGTCAAATATGTTAAAAACTTTAAACAACTTCTTCTGAATAACCAAAATGCCCAGGGTGATGATATTTAGTCAGTAGCATACTAGGATCAAGGGCTACCAAGTTTGTTTAAATGTATGACCTTGAATCATATTCAAGGTCACAAGGAGCAAATATGTTCAAAATATTTCAACAACTTGTTCTGAATAACCAAAAGGCTCAGGATGTTGATATTTAGTCAGTAGCATATGCTGGGATCAAGGACTACTTTGTTAAAGTGAATGACTTTTACTTATATTCAAGGTCACAGGGCTCAAATTTGTTTAAAATCTTTAAACAACCGCTTCTGAATAACCATGGGTCGCAGGATGTTTATACTTTGCAAGTTGCATCCTGAGATGAAAGGCTATACAATGTGTTCAACATAATGACTTTGTTCGACTTTCAATCACAGGGGTGAAATGTTCAAAAAAAAAAATAACAGGGTCTTTTGAATGAATTTTAATCATAAATACTGATATTTTGCCTGTAGCTTTATTTTAGATCACTTTTAAGGTTACAAGTGTGAGTTTTATACCAGGTGAGCGATGCAGGCCCATTGGGCCTCTTGTTTCTTCTACCATAGGGATTAAGGGACTGTATCCTAATTTAGTCTGGAGCATCCTCGGGTCAAGGGGACTCAATTTTGTATAATTGGTGGGTATGACCCCCTTAGGGCATAGGGGTGGGGCTCTGTTTGAAGTTTGTTCTTGCTATATCTCAAGTACTGGATGGATCTTTCTGAAATTTCATATGTACTTACAGCACCTACAATGGAGTGCTATATCTTTACCTCATACCAGTTATTTAAACATATATTCAGGTGAATGACACAGGCCCTCTGGGCCTCTTGTTTATAACATGTCAGCTAACCACTCTAAGAATGATGCAGATCTTTTTTCAATGTTAGAAAGTATATAACACTATATGGCATTCGACAGGCATATATTGTTCCGCCCCGTGATACTCTTGTTAACCATTTAGTTGTATGTAATTTATATTCAGTATAAAAATATGCAAAGCTTCCAAATGGCAAATTACAATACACAAAAACTCTTCATTGTTGAATCATCATATTAGATATTTGATAGGACAGCTGTTTTCTTTAAAGCCAGTTACCTTACTCAAATAAACCGGAAAAAATCCAACAGCTCATTCTACTGTAATAAGAAAGAAAGAAGTGGTAAGATGATGTGCCCCAGCTGGGATCGAACCCACGACCCCAGGTTCTGGAGGCCAACACTCTACCACTGAGCTAAAGGGAATGTCCTGTCAGCTGACTGACAGAACAGAATCACTACTTGTACATAGTACATATACTACCCAGATCTTTCACACTACTTTTGCATTACATGTAGTTCAAGTTACCTTTGTTACAAAATGATTTCTTTTTCATTTGGCAACATAGATAACATCAGTTTTTACATAACTCAGGTGACCATTAAGGCCCATAGGCCTCCTGTTAGTTCACCTGGCCCTTGGGATGAAGGGCTACCAACTTTATTCAAATGAATGACCTTAAATTATATTCAAGGTCACGTGTCAATTGTCTTAAAAAACAATTTCTTCTCAATAACCAAAAGAACCAGTATGGTGATGTTTGGCCAGTAGCATGCTGAGATGAAGGGCTACAAATGAATGACCTTCACCCAAATTCAAGGTCACATGGGTCAAATATGTCAAAAACTTGAACAACTTCTTGTGAATAACCAAAAGGCACAAGAAGATTATATTTGGCCAGTAGCATGCTGGGGTGAAGGACTATAAGTTTCTTCAAATGAATGACCTTCACTTATATTCAAGGTCACAGGGGTCAAATATGTCTTAATAAACCTTTGAACAACTTCTGAATAGCCAAAGGGACCAGGATGTTGGTATTTGGCATGCTAGGATGAAGAACTACCAAGCTTTTTCATTTGAATGACCTTGACCCACTTTCAAGGTCACATTTGGTCAAATATGTGTAAACATTTAATTGACCTGAGATGAAGTGCTATACATTTGTTCAACATAATGACCTTTTTGAGTCAGCCTTGTACGACTTTCAAGGTCACGGGTATTTTTTTTTCCATTTTTTTAGCAGATTCTTTACTGATATTTTGCCTGTAGCCTTATTTTAGATAACTTTAAAGGTTACAAGTGTGAGATTTATACCTGGTGAGCGATGCGGACCCATTATGGGCCTCTTGTTCTTGTTTGCAAGACTTGAAGAAAAAAGAAACCAGCTAAAAACTTCTCTATATAATGTCTTAAAAACTGCCAACCATGGTATTCCATTACAACACAATCTGAAATATTTTGAGACCCTTTAATACTGATTTGTACTTTTATGCCTGCAAAATTCCACATTACTAGCTGTCCACGTTTGTTTTTCCCATTTTGAATCCTGTTGTGTAGTTTGGACTTGGAGTGCTTTAAAAAAAATGTGTTAAAGAAGGATTAATTATGACATTTTGTGAAATTGACCTTTTCAAAATATGACATATACCTGGATTGAACTACTAATAATATATATATATATAGCTCTATGTAAAATGGCTTGACATGCATAGCGCATAGGATTTAGTAATCTATTATATAAATGTAAGATTTTAATTTTTAGCTCACCTCTTCTACGGTAATAAAAAGGATAAATTTGCTACATTGCTATAAATGACTTCTTCTGTAGAACTATGCACTGGATATCAATCATATTTGGTTGGAAGCATTCATGGGAGCCAGGGATTCAAATTGTACAAGTAGTGGGGCTGACCCCCTTGGCTGAAGGGTGGGGCAAAAAACAGATTGCTTGGAAATGGTTGAAATCCCCACCCTATAACCATATATACAATTGCTCATTTGGAGAATGAAGAGAAGAATGCACATATGTTTCCAGGATTGCCCAGGGATACGGCCCCACCCTTGGAGACATAGTCCCTGGGTCATAACTTTGAAACGGTTGAGATCCCCACCCCAAAACTAAATATACAAATGCTGGGCATAAAGAGACGAATGCAGTCATGATATTGGAATAGACCCTGGGGTCTGTCCCACCCTCACAGACTTAACCCCTTGGTCATAACTTTGAAACGGTTGAGATCCCCACCCCAAAACTATATATACAAATGCTGGGCATAAAGAGGCGAATGCAGACATGATATTGGAATAGACCCTGGGGTCTGTCCCACCCTCACAGACTTAACCCCTGGGTCATAACTTTGAAACAGTTGAGATCCCCACCCCAAAACCATATATACAAAATGCTTGGCATAAAGAGACGAATGCAGTCATGATATTATAATTGATCCTGGGGTCTGGCCACAACCCTATGGACCTAGTTTCTGAGTCACAGCTTGGAAACAGTTGAGATCCCCACCCCATAACCATGCATAAAATTGCTGGGCATGAAAAATATAATACAGATAGGATACAAGGATTGTCTTTGGGGTCTCGCCCATTCCTTTGGATCTTATTTGGAGAATATTTTGCCATGATTACTTTGATACCTCTGGGCCTCTTGTTTTAATTAATCGGAAATTTCAGATGTTTGAGGTTTATTTTCTATTAATGGTTGTTTTAACTCAGACCAAACATATCAAAAGTTATCCCCCAAAAATTGTGAAGTATAAAACTTGACTAATTCTTCAGGTGAAATAGTAGCTTATCTGAAAGAGTATGGAAAAAATGTTGGTGCTCAGAGAGCATAAACTCATCAGATGTGCTACCAGGTAATTAATTTCCTGCTGGTGGCCATGTATAAAGACACCTGTACCTACTTCAGCAGATGTGTCCTCCTTACACTTCCTACTAGACATGTGAACATGGCCAATAGGTAGCGTATGTAATACCTCTATATATGCAAGACCACACACTTGTGTTTTTCTCATGAATCAGAAAGCAAGAGCTTATTGCGCGGACGAATCTATATGCACAAGTGCGCTCTGCGCACGAGTGAAGATATATTTCCGTGCAATAAATGAGTGCTTTCTGATTCGTTAGAAAAACACAAGTGTGTGGTCTTGCATTTATCACATCCCTTCCGTATTTGGTAGAGATCGATACAAAGATTTTATAAACTTTGATATTTTTTGCAAATACCGAGAACTTTTCAGTTCGCCATGACAAGGGAATTCCCATAAAAAGTAGTTCCGGCTAGTAGGTAAATACAACATTCCGTATTGCACATGTGCAATACAGAACGTTGTATTTCATGGTCTGAAAATTACTTGTATTACTATAACAAGATTTCAACAGGTATGTGATAAATAGCTATATCTATATATAAATAGGTAGCGTAATTGGGGAAGCAGTGGCCAAGTGGTTAAGGCATCTGACCACTGGGTCGCAGGTTCGAAGCTCACGTGGGGTAGTGGCCAGGTACTGGCTCTAGGTTGTTGGTGTTTCTCCTGTAACTCCAGCTTTCCTCCACCAAACCCTGGCATGTCCTTAAATGATCATAGCTGTTAATAGGACGTAAAACACAAACAAACCAAAGCTATGTAATAAGTATATAACTTGGTCATAACCTGTAAACTTACTTGCTAAATGTCATGTACAGCTGATATGTGTAATCAGTCACCTTAACACTAGTACCTGTACAGATAGGTACTCTAGGTTCAAGTGACTTGCTGCGCATGCCTACATAATCTATTACAGTTAATTTGAAATTGTGAATCATAATTGATATCAGAGACATACAAGTTTACAAATAACATACATTTTTCTATTTCCTGAAGTAAAAAGCAGTGATTAATATTGAAGTTCAATTTCAGTGACATCATGACATCCTTTTAGCATTTTAGTACAAATGATAATTATTAGGGCAGGTGTTACCCTTTACTTTCAAGGAGTAAAGTCAGGTATAAGTCATAAATAAATTTTGAAGTCTCATATTTACTTAAATTAATAGAACAATGTTACATATGGGAAATTCACCTAGTTATATAACATTGTGTAGTCCCCATTATAGTAACTGGATACCATATTTGTTTTTCAGGTCAAATTAAAGAATGGATGAACACTCACAAAAACAAAAAAACGTTGCTATCCATTGGTTCAGGAATGGACTTCGTATACACGACAACCCAGCTTTGTGTGATGCATTAGAAAATTGTGATGAGTTTTATCCCATTTTTATCTTTGATGGGGAAGTTGCAGGTATGTACTCTAATACGATGTGTAAACATATATTTTTCTGTATTGACATCAGGCACATGTGTAGAGCATTGGAATAATAATATTTAATGCTGTCTGTATGGCTCTGTAGTAAACTGCTTCTCAAATTGTAATAATAATAATAATTTGAGGTTCTTACATACCGTTTTATCACAACCTAGTTCATAGGTCGTCTCAAATCGGTTCACAAGTTATTATCTGTGGTTGTGGGGCCTTTGCAACCTGCCAATATCTTTCTCAACTCCCTGGGGAGCATACAGTGCTGCTATTTCGGCGCTAACAGCTAGCGCTTAACAATTCTAGCATTCTAGCAATTCTAACCATGTACTCATTTACAGCTGAGTAGACTGGAACAAGCACAGTAAACTATCTTGCTCAAAGATACAAACACAGTGCTGTGCCATGACTCAAACCCGCAACCCTTCGGTCACGAGCCCCGCATCCTACCACTAGACTGCCGTGCCTCCTGAATAAAAAATTATTAATCTAATTTGGTAAAACATTTACATGTATGGCTTAGATGTGTATGCAGAAAAGATCATTACTATCTATGGTGTTCATGGTTGTGTGGTCACTTTGACCTGTAGTTTGGTGTCACTCGAGTCAGGTGACCTATTGTGATCATTTTCCGTCTGACGTTGTGCGGCGTGCAGTGCGAGTCATGCTTATGCCATCAAATTTTTGCCTTCTTCTCAAAAATCAACCGTCAGATTTTGATGAAACTTGGTGTTTATTAGCAGCCTTAGGTGGGATCAGAGTCTTTACTACTGGAGATGGGGCTGGCACCCCAGCGGGATGAGGTTGGGGGCATAAGGGGTCAAAGACTGAAAACCTTCAAAAAGTTTTTGTCTGTGAAACTTACAGGCGAATTTCACCAATATTTCTTTAAGATAATGTTTTGATGATGAGGATCAGAATTAATGCTCAAGAAGGGACCGACTCTCGGGGCTCATAGGGGGTCACATACTGCAAAACCTGAAACTTCTTCCCAGAAACTGTCTCACAGATTTTGATGAAACTTTGTGGTAATCACCAACCTGAAATGGGGATCAGAATTTTTATTCCAGATGGGTCTGAGTTTCCAGAGGCCTGAGTGTCTGAGCCAAAAGAGGTCATATTGGCTAAAATTTCAATACCTTGGTAATTTTCTTCTGAATATCAAAATACCAAACAATTGTGATATTTATGAACACTCTAAAATGTAAAATGGTGACAGAAGTTTCAGTTAGCTGCTTATTGTAATATTCATGACAGTGCATGGCGTGGGAAGGCCTTTACTGACTGTTATTAGTTGGCTAATTGTACTGATCATGTGACCAGTCTAGTTTGTAGCCGCTGTTATTTCCATAAATGATGCATGTATACCTTGGTTATAACTATGTGAAAGTCTTTTCAGAGCCTGCATCCTGTATTCTGTTTCATTTGTTGAAAAAACGCTAGCGTGCTAGAAGTAAATATCAGCTAAAAAAAGAAACATTACCCTAGTATTTAATTTTCTTAAGCCCTCAGGTGATGTATTTGGAAAATATTGGAACAAATTGTTATCAATTTAAAAGGATTTTAAGAAAAATAAAGAGTATGAGAAATGGTTGGTTCTGTAGCATTGAAGTCTCTTGCATATCTAATTAGTGTACTACTTTGCTAATTTCTGTTATATTTTATTACTGTTTGACACAAAATATCTTTAATATTTGTATATTTTTAACATGAAACTTAGGAGATTTGTTTCTGTATTTCTTACATTTCTACTCTAGGGACGAAATTCTCTGGATTTAACAGAATGCGCTTTTTACATGAAAGCCTTGAAGATCTGGACAATACTTTTAAAAAGAATGGAGGCCGATTATATACATTTCAAGGAAAGGCAAAAGATGTGTTGAAAGGATTGTTTCAAGTAAGAATGATTATTGATATCTTTTGCTTGCAAGTTTTGTTATTTGCAAGAGTCACAGAAGGCTACTAGCATACATACATGTAACTATTTCCCCAAATAGGGAATAAAAGTTTAAAATTATCAGACAGAATTCATTTGTTGAAGAATTTTGTTTTGTTTTGTCAAAGCCTGTAAGTAAAACTGTCATTCATGATAATTGTCTTCATTCAATTAATTCATTTGTTTGCAAGAAAAGAACATGTTTTGTCCAGTAATTACATATATGAGAAAGCAAACAATTTTGTCAGTCGCAAAAGTTGTCCTTTATCAAAAAGATCATATTATAAGAAAACATGACCTCTGCAATTTTATTCAAATTCTCATTAGTTGTACAATATAACATTGTTGTCATTGTGATGGGTTGTCAGTTTTCTGTCATTTTTGCCCTTTGTATTGAGGGTAAATTGATCATGATGATTGAAGAATTTATTACTATGTTCAAAAATGTAATTAATACAATACAAAAATACAAATTGGAACTTAACAACAAGCTTATGGTACGAATATGTTCGGATGAAAATTTCATGGTACATGTATATATATACATAAAATAATTATTCATCATAAAACACTTTAAATCTTTCCATTAATCTCGGAATTAAGGCTAATGGAGGAATGCTATTTCTGTACAAATGAGCATGCACTTGAGCAGTTAGATAGTATTTAGGAATAGGCCTGTCATCCATTTAATACCTTTCTTAAGACTTAGTCTCCCTTCAGCCGTTTTAAAGATTAAACATAGTATACTTCTTGTAAAATATAAAACTTTGATCTTTATGAAGCCATTAAGAATCAATAATGCACAGATCAACTTGACTTGTCCTTAAAAGGAGTGGAATGTGACACGCTTGACATACGAAGCAGAGGTGGAGCCAATCTGGGAGGATAGGGACATGGAGGTTGAGGAATTGTGTCAGGAAAAGGGGATAGAACTCATCTCTAGGATATCTCATACCCTGTGGAATCCCTCCGAGTAAGTATCGGGCTCATTTCCACAAACAGTTAACATCCTGGAATCCCTCCTAGTAAGTACCAGGGTCATTCAACAAACAGCTAATATCCTGGAAACCCTCCGAGTAAGTATCTGGGTCATTTTGACAAACAGTTAACATCCTGGAATCTCTCCTAGTAAGTATCTGGGTTATTTCCACAAACAGTTAACATCCTGGAATCTCTCCTAGTAAGTATCTGGGTCATTTCCACAAACAGCTAACATCCTGTGAATCTCTCCAGTATATCAATTGTACTTTCTAAAACAATCAACACCATGTATATTCCTCAAAGTCAGTATCAATATCCTTGTAAGTATCAGAGTAATTCCTACAAACAGCTACATCCTGAGAACCCACCTCTACCTCCACCCGCCTACAGTGTGTAATAAAGTATCAGGGGTATTCAACAAAGGTCACATCCTGTGACTGTGTCCCCATCAGGGTAAGTATAAATATCAGTTTTACAGAATGTGACCTGTCGGTAAAACTGATATTGATAATTACCCTGGTGGGCACCCAGTCACAGAATGTGACCTGTCTGTCAAACTGATATTGATACTTGCCCTGATGGGCACACAGTCTCAGGATGTGACCTGTCTGGAAAACTGATATTGATACTGCCTCTGATGGGCACACAGTGACAGGATGTGACCTGTCCGTAAAACTGATATTGATGCTTACCCTGATGGGCACAAAGTCACAGAATGTGACCTGTCTCTAAAAATGATATTGATACTTACCTTGATGGGCACACAGTCAAGGTATGTGCCTTGTCTGTAAAACTGATATTGGTTCTTACCCTGATGGGCACAAAGTCACAGAATGTGACCTGTCGGTAAAACTGATATTGATGCTTACCCTGATGGGCACCCAGTCACAGGATGTGGCCTTTGTTGAATACCCCTGATACTTTATTACACACTGTAGGCGGGTGGAGGTAGAGGTGGGTTCTCAGTATGTAGCTGTTTGTAGGAATTGCTCTGATACTTACAAGGATAAGAATGTGACCTGTCTGGAAAACTGATATTGATACTTCCCCTGATGTGCACACGGTCACAGGATGTGACCTAGCTGTCTGTAAAACTGATATTGGTTCTTACCCTGATGGGCACAAAGTCACAGAATGTGACCTGTCTGGAAAACTGATATTGATACTTCCCCTGATGGGCACACAGGCACAGGATGTGACCTGTCTGCAAAACTGATATTGATACTTGCCCTGATGGGCACACAGTCCCAGGATGTGACCTGTCTTGAAAACTGATATTGATACTTCCCCTGATGCGCACACAGTCACAGGATATGACCTGTCTGTAAAACTAATATTGATACGTACCCTGATGGGCACACAGTAACAGGATGTGACCTGTCCGTAAAACTGATATTGATCCTTACCCTGATGGGCACAAAGTCACAGAATGTGACCTGTCTCTAAAAATGATATTGATACTTACCTTGATGGGCACACAGTCAGGGTAAGTATCAATCTCAGTTTTACAGACAGGCCACATCCTGTGACTGTGCGCCCATCAGAGGAAGTATCAATATCAGTTATACAGACAGGTCACATCCTGGGACTGTGTGCCCATCAGGGTACGTATCAATATTAGTTTTAAAGCCAGGTCCCATCCTGTGACTGTGTGACCATCAGGGTAAGTATCAATCTCAGTTTTACAGACAGGACACATCCTGTGACTGTGTCCCCATCAGGGTAAGTATAAATATCAGTTTTACAGCAAGGCCACATCCTGTGACTGTGCGCCCATCAGAGGAAGTATCAATATCAGTTGTACAGACAGGTCTCATTCTGTGCCTGTGTGCCCATCAGGGGAAGTATAAATATCAGTTTTACAGCCAGGTCACATCCTGTGCCTGTGTGCCCATCAGGGCAAGTATCAATATCAGTTGTACAGACAGGTCTCATTCTGTGACTGTGTGCCAATCAGGGTAAGTATCAAATCTGGGTCATTTCCACAAACAGCTAACATCCTGTGCATCTCTCCAGTCTATCAATTGTACTTTCTAAAACAATCAACACCATGTATATTCCTCAAAGTCAGTATCAATATCCTTGTAAGTATCAGAGCAATTCCTACAAACAGCTACAGCCTGAGAACCCACCTCTACCTCCTCCCCCCTACAGTGTGTAATAAAGTATCAGGGGTATTCAACAAAGGCCACATCCTGTGACTGTGCGCCCATCAGAGGAAGTATCAATATCAGTTTTCAAGACAGGTCACATCCTGGGACTGTGTGCCCATCAGGGCAAGTATCAATATCAGTTTTACGGACAGGTCACATCCTGTGACTGTGGGCCCATCAGGGTAAGTATCAACATCAGTTTTACAGACAGATCACACCCTGTGACTGTGTGCCCGTCAGGGTAAGTATCAATATCAGTTTTACAGACAGGTCACATCCTGTGTATAATAGTATACATGTAGGACCTCATACTGTACACTGTAGTGTGACAACTCTCTATATTTCAGTATCATAAACAATAATGGAGGCACTCCACCAGTCACCTACAACCATTTTGAGCTGACCACCTCCTTGCTTGGTCCCCCTGACCGTCCTGTCCCTGTTCCTAAACTGAGCAAGGTCAATATGCTGGTGTATGATAACTTCGACGAGAAGTTTGCTCTACCCAGCGTCAAAGAACTAGGTTTGTACTACAGATGGTTGACTAACTAATAAATGTGTGATAGTTTATTGATCATAATATGTGACAGTTGAAAAATGATAACATGTCTAAATCAGAGTTACTATTTACTTATATTGAAAACAATGAACATTTGACATAAATGTGTACATTAAATATATATATGTATGGATTGTGTGTTATTTTATTTGACCAGGATATGAACCTGAGTGTAAGGAGCAGACTGAGCGCATCAATAACTGGCTGGGTGGAGAGACTAAGGCCCTGCAGCTGCTGGAGGAGCGACTCAAGAATGAAAGGGAGGTACTGTATAAGCCTTTAAATAATTTTCAGCAACCAAAATTATTATGAGTCAATACTGGTGAGAAAGATTTTCGGTCAGCCTGTGATATCATTTATGTAAGCAGAGAATGCTTTTTGTGACCGGGTGGGAATACTGCTTTGACAACAGGGCATTATTCTCATGAAAAATGTAATTTGCATAAGTGGTTATTGTAATCTTTCAGCCTATTATTGATGGCATCATGCTGCCCAATCAGTTCTTGCCGGATCTAGTCAGTCCCCCGACCAGTATGAGCCCTCATCTACGGTTTGGCTGTGTGTCTGTCCGGACTTTCTACTGGGGTATACATGACCTTTACAAGGAGGTAAGCACACACTACGTCTAGAATATATCACGATATATTGTGATGTAGGCAGAAAATATTGTGAAACGTATCACAATATCTCGTCACAGGATTTTTTTTAGCCCACCATCATCTGATGGTGGGCTATTCAAATCACCCTGTGTCCGTGGTCCATGGTCCGTCCGTTGTCTGTTGTCCGTCGTCCGTCGTCCGTCCGTAAACAATTCTTTGTTATCGGTATTTCTCAAGAAGTACCAGAGGGATCTTTCTCAAATTTTATATGCAGGTTCCCCTTGGTCCTAAGCTGTGCAGAGCAACTTTTGAGACTGATCGGATAAACAACATGGCCGACAGGCAGCCATCTTGGATTTTGATAGTGAAAGTTTGTTATCGCTATTTCTCAAGAAGTACCAGAGGGATCTTTCTCAAATTTTATATGTAGGTTCCCCTTGGTCCTTAGCTGTGCAGGGCAACTTTTGAGATTGATCGGATAAACAACATGGCCGACAGGTAGCCATCTTGGATTTTGATAGTGTGGGTTTGTTACCGCTATTTCTCCGGAAGAACTAGAGGGATCTTTCTTAAATTTTATATGTAGGTTCCCCTTGGTCCTAGCTGTGCAGGGCAATTTTAGAGACTGATCGGATAAACAACATGGCCGACAGGCAGCCATCTTGGATTTTGATAGTGAAAGTTTGTTATCGCTATTTCTCGGGAAGTACGGGAGGGATCTTTCTCAAATTTTAAATGTAGGTTCCCCTTGATCCCTCGTTGTGTATGTTATATTTTGAGACTGATCATAAAAACAAAATGGATTAAAAGAAGAACTAAACAGATCTTTCTCATATTGCAATGATCGATTCTATTTCTTTCACATTAAGTACTGTACTAGTAAATATGTGAAATGACAAACTCACTTTGAAGGTTGGCTTTCATACACATCAGTATTAAGTTTAGATCAAAAGTTACCTCAAGGTGCATTTACTGTTAACATGACTCGATCAAACAGATTAGAGGAAAGAAGAGAAAGGATCGAACTGACAAAGAACTAATGAAGATGGTACAAAGGTGGGCGCCAAGATCCCTGTGGGATCTCTTGTTTTTCTAGAAATGTTACTTCATTCCAGGAGGTTTTGTCAGACACTGTCAGACTGATTGGAAACAAATGGATCATACAGTATTAAGATTATCAATATACTGATTATTAATTATGAAATTTCACCTGATTCCCACCACTAGAAATAGTCTGTTCTTAATGTTAATGGCTTATATTGCATACTGTGAAGATTGTTACAATGTTTTAACATCTTTATGATAAAATATCAAGGTAAAGTGTTGAAAGATTTTGCAAGTACAGCAGTATCAATTTTTAGCTCACCTGGCCCAAAGGGCCAAGTGAGCTAATGGCATGGTGCAGCGTCCGTCCGGCGTCTGTCCCGCATCCGTCCGTCCGTCCGTCCTGTGTCCACTTTTTACTTCAACAACTTCTTCTCAGTAACCAAAAGGCATAGGGTTATGATATTTGGCCAGAAACATGCTGGGATGAAGGGCTACCAAGTTTGTTCAAATAAATGACCATGATTTGTATTCAAGGTCACTGGGGTCAAATGTTTTAAAAACATTTAAACAACTTCTTCTGAATAATCAAGAGGCCTAGGGTGATGATAGTTAGCCAGTAACATGCTGGGATGAAGGGCCACCAAGTTGTTCAAATAAATGACTTTGAATCATATTCAAGGTCTCAGGGGTCAAACATGTTTAAAACCTTAAACAACTTCTTCTGAATAACCAAGAGGCCTAGGGTGATGATAGTTGGCCAGAAGCATGCTGGGAGGAAGTGCTACCAAGTTTGTACAAATGAATCACCTTCACCCATATTCAAGGTCACAGGGGTCAAATATGTTAAAAACTTTAAATGACTTCTCCAGAATAACCAAAATGACCAGGGTGATGATATTTGGCCAGAAGCATGCTGGTATGAAGGACTTCCAAGTTTGTTCTAATAAATGATCTTTGCCAATATTCAAGTTCAAAGTTCACCAAAATGCAATGGGCGGTGATATGTGACTAGTAGCATGGTGGCATAAAGGACTATCAAGTTTGTTCATGTGGATGAATTTGACACACTTTCAAGGTCACATCTAGTCAATTGTATATAATCTTTAAGAGCCATCTTCTCAATAAACATAAAGGTCTAGGGTGGTGATATTTGGCAAGTTGCATTCTGGGATGATGGGCTATAAAGTTTGTTCACCCTAATTATATATATATAATGTCATTGTTTGACTTTCAAGGTCACAGGGGTCAAATGTGGTAAAATCTTCTAACTGGTTCTATTGAGTGACTTTAAGTCAAGACACTGATATTTTGCCTGTAGCCTTATTTTTGTCCAATTGGGAGATTGATACCAGGTGAGCAATGCAGGCCCGTTGGGTCTCTTGTTACAACTTATATTGATCACTCCTGTTGGCCCGGATGTTAAGGCATTGGCGGTCTTAATGAAGAAGGAAACAGTAGTACCTGGAGAAAACCTGCTGCCTTGGTTAAAGCGAGTACTATAACCATTATGCCACTTGACAACCCAATGTACAGAATGTGCAATAATTACGATATTTTACCCACAGATCCATGGTGACAAGAAAGTGCCTGTGTCACTGACTGGCCAGCTAGTGTGGCGAGAGTACTTCTATACCATGTCAGTTAACAACCTGAACTACGACAAGATGAAGGCAAACCCAATCTGCCTGGACATTGGCTGGGATGAGGAAAACGAAAAACTGCAATCATGGGTCATGGTAATGTAGCGTTTTAGCACTCGTAGTTCTCTCTAAAATCTAAACACACAATGGCTACTCTATATATCACTTTGTCTTTGACTTCTATTTTGGCAGTTACTCAATTATTATGTAACAGTCTCAAAAATCAAAGAGATGTTGTGGGTTCGATGGTATTTTTATTACGTGTAAATAAAACTCTAGAAAACAAAGCATAAAATACATTACTCACACACCCATATCATACGCCGCAAAGAACGATAACTCTTTACTTGCATATATATTATGATTCAATCAGTTATTCTCGTTTATACCTAATTGAGATATGTAAATTGTATTTTACAATATACAATTTATAACTAGAAATATAACTTTACCCCTATTTTCCATTTAAGAATGAAAAGATAGCTATGGTTAAATGTATTAAATTAACACACCTCAAGAACAAATCTTCTGTTACATTTATATAAGATATGGGAATATCTTTAAATTACACAATTACTTCTCATATGATAAAAGTGACTTTACATATACACACTCACCCTACGAGATATTGCAGGGGTTTACACGTGGCTTAAGAGCCATACAGGTCATTGCCAGGGACTGAAGGGTTCACCTCTAAAAAGAACGACATGAAACTTTCAGCAAGCATATTCACTAGAAACTTATGTATAACTATTTAGTATTTACCTTTATTTAATTCTAGACAAATCACACCTAAAATGGTGGTAACTGCTCATTACAAAAGTTTATAACTCAAGAGAAATATAACTATTACTTTTACCATTAAACCCATAGTTAAACGTTATACAGAATGAGCCTACACCTAATGTTATAAACTTGGAGTACAATTATTTACCAAAACTAGTATAACTTACCACCAAATACAGCTAAGGCACCGTCTCTTAGAAAGCTCCTTTAAAAATGAAGGACTTACACCTCAGAGTGCTCGGTGTGAAAATGTGGATAGATGTCAGAGTGAGGTAGAACGCAAGAACTTCAAGTAGGTCTTGTCCAATCAACATCCCTATAGTCCGTCACATGTCAATACATGAATATACTTGAAGACATGTTACCTGTTCACAAACATTAAGGCAGCCCACCCCATCCCATTACAGCAATGACTTTTAAGGAATCCCATGCTAGTCTTTATATAAAATTCAAACACATAAATTATATACAATAATCACCTATCCTAATGACAGAATAATTCACCCTGCCACAATTACATCACCTGATTTCCATACCTCATTTTAATTACTACTCCTACTGAGTTAATCCCACAAAAATCTCCAAAAGCTATACAGTAAAACTCTACCTCGTCGAACTCAGTTTACTCGAATACCCCTCCTTCGTTGAACAGTTTGTTTGGTCCTGACCAAGTTCGTACATATTCTTTTTAAAGTAACCCCGGATTAGTCGTACCTTTATTCCTCGAACAAAAATTTGTCCCTATCTCTTCATAGTCATAGTATTAATCCTATCTATTCGTCAAACAGGTGTGACCTGACACGCCTGACAGACATTTTACCTGCCGTCTAAATGTCCCGGGGCACAGGCTGCACTCCAAGCTCATTGTGCTTAATTAGAGGATTAACGGCAGTATAATTTAGTAACTGTACCGTTACCCTTTTGTATCTGCATTATCATTTTGTGTGCATATATATCTTTTCCAGACGATGCTTTGACATCAATGATTTTGCAGAAGAGTTAAGATACTGGGTTGTAAAACCATATTTTGGCATGGCAATATCAAGCGGAAATCACATAGCCAATTCTCGACCAACTTTAAAGATATTCAAACTTGAATATGTCGTGATTGTTAATTTCTTTATCAATCAACATTATGATAACAATGATTCAAGTTTTTCTTCATTTTAAAATGACCGAAGAGTTCCTCTCGTTTTGATATTTTGTAAAATTAACGAAGCCGATTACAGTATGGTGGAGTATGTCAAAACGACAAGTACGTTACACATGCAGCTTTTTAATGTCATGGTGCGGCGTCTATCGTCCGTCCGTCATCAGTCGTCCGTCGTCATCTGTCTACTTTTCCTTAAAACAACCTATACTGAAGAACAGCCAGGTGCAGTGGCTATAAGCTTTGTTGGTAGGAGCCCAACAAAGTTTGAAAACGAAAATGACCTTGACCTACATTCAAGGTCACATGGGTCAAATGTGTCAAACACTTCAAATGACTTCTTCTGTAGAACTGAAAGGTATAGAATATTCATATTTAGCTGGTGGCTTCCTGGGAAAGAGCAAGCAAAGTTTGAGAAAGAAAATGACGTTGAACTACTTTCAAGGTCACAGCGGTCAAGTATGTCACACACTTCAAACGACTTCTTCTGCAGAACCAAAAGTTAAAGAACCCTGATATTTGGATGGTGGCTTCCTGGAATACAGCAAGCCAAAGTTTAAGAATGAAAATGACCTTGACCTACTTTCAAGGTCTCAGAGGTAAATTGTGTCAAACATTTCGAACGACTTCTGCTGAAGAACTGAATGATATAGAATCTTCATATTTGGCTGCTTGCTTCCTGGGATAGAGCCAGACAAAGTTTGAGAACGAAAATGACCTTGACATATTTTGAAGGTCACAGCGGTCAAATATGTCGAACACTTCAAACAACTTCTTTTGAAAAACTAAAAGGTATAAAATCTTCATATTTGGCTGGTGGTTTCCTGGGATGAAGCCAAACATATTTTGAAAATGACCTTGACGTATTTTTAAGGTCACAGCAGTCAAATATGTCAAACGCTTCAAACGATTTCTTCTGAAGAATTAAAAGGTATAGAATCTTCATATTTCGCTGTTGGCTTCCTTGGATGGAGCCCAACAAAGTTTGAAAATGAAATGACCTTGACGTACTTTCAAGATCACGGCGGTCAAATATGTAAAACACTTCAAACGACTTCTTCTGAAGAATTAAAAGGTACAGAATCTTCATATTTCGCTGGTGGCTTCCTTGGATGGTGCCCGAGAAAGTTTGAGAAAGAAATTGACCTTGACTTGCTTTCAAGGTCACAGCGGTCAAATATGTAAAAACTCTTTAAACGACTTCTTCTGAAGAATTAAAAGGTATAGAATCTTTATATTTGGCTGGTGGCTTCCTGAGATAGATCCTGACAAAGTTTGAGAATGAAAATGACCTTGACCTTCTTTCAAGGTCACAGATGTCAAATATGTAAAAAACAGCATACAGCTTCTTCTGAATAATCGAAAGCATAAAATTATAATATTTGGCTGGTCGCTTCCTGGGATAGAGCTCACCAAAATTTGCAAATGAAAATGACCTCAACCTACCTTAAAGGACAGAGATCAACAGCATTTTAAAGGATTTGTTCTTAAGAACCAAATGGAATGAATTCATAAGATTTGGCTGGTAGCTTTTTGGGATAGAGCTAACATTGCATGAGAAGGAAAATGACATTGACCTAATTACAAGGTCACAGGGAAAAATATGTCAGTTAACTTCTGAAGAAGAACCAAAAAGCATAGAATCTTATAATAATATTTTGCTGGTAGTTTCAACAGATGGAGCCGACAAAGTTTAGGAGGGAAATATTTGTAGTGCAATATAATATTGAGTGAGAATATTTTGCTATGACTGCTTAAATATTCAGGTGAGCGATACAGGCCCTCTGGGCCTCTTGTATTATAATTGATTCTGGGGTCTGGCCACAACCCTAGGGACCTAGTTTCTGAATCACACCTTAAAAACAGTTGAGATCCCCAACCCGTAACCATACATAAAATTGCTGAGCATGAAAATCTAATACAGATATGATACAAGGATTGGCCTTAGGGTCTGGCCCTTTCCCTTGGATCTTATTTGGAGAATATTTTGCCATGATTATGTAAAGTTGAATGAAAAGTCAAGGTCGACGCAGGTTTCTTGTTTACCAGTTTATTCCCACAATATGTGGAACATAATCAAAAAACCCTACAAAGACACAATACAATTGATTACATAATGAAACACAGCGCTCACATATATAATTCCTAACATGTACATTCGGTGCATACATATTTGATCCGTTCACACACAATAGGTTATTCAAAAATAGGAATAACTTTACAATGACTGACTTCATCATAATCAATAGTTGAAATTACTTACACAAATTACTTATACATAATTATATTCAATACAATTATCCTCATCAATTATCGCTTGTTTACATTATCACATACAATATTAAAATACCTACCCCAACTATGGGTCGGGGGTTTACACGAATGAAGATCTGTATCCGCGCGTTCTCAATCGAAAACTATCATCTCTGTAAAAGAGACATGTAAATCACAATTTACATCATGTTGATAAATACATATATACATTACTTTAAAAAGAGCTATCTATGTATCGATTAATTATACATGTACGTAAGATAAAGATTCTGTTAATTTTATAAAAAGTACAATTTCACAATATAATTAATGCTACTTTATCCAAAATCTCATTAATATAATAATTTAACATACACCAATTACAGAAGAAGACTTTGTCACATCTATATGTGTACATACCAGATCTAGAGAAAGACTTCAAGACTAAAACTTCTGGATATAAAATACATCCACCCTTTAGCTCTGTCTATGAAGGAATACTAAAAACCGCGCCAAAACATGTAACAAAGACAACTGGACTGACCACTAACGAAAACGAGGTAACACCTATATTTAGAACAATTACCTTATATGGACGTAACAAGGTAAGACAAGTGACAGGTGACAACATACTCACGTGTACAAAAACAACACAGGTAAACGGCACAGTGATCGTACACAGCACATGTATACGCGAACAGCACGATATACGCAGCGCAACAATTAATTTAATTTAAAAACATTTTATCACAGCCTTTATTAAAACACCAATATTTTCACATTGTTACAATTACTTTTGATTTCCAGGTGAGCGATACAGGCCCTCTGGCCCTCTTGTTAGAAAGAAAGTGAATCTTTTTGCAGGAATTCGTGTTTTTATTACTGGTGATAATTCAATACTTTTTACTTAACTTTCATAATTTTTTTGATTGTTTGATTGGAAATGTGTTTAAGAATATTAAATTTTGATTGTTTAAGAATTATATTTCAGTCATAGATAATTTATTAGCTCACCTGGTCCGAAGGTCCATGGTGAGCTTATGCCATACCACAGCGTCTGTGGTCCGTTGTCCGTCAACTTTTCCTTTAAAACGCTACTTGTCCTGAACGGCCAAGCTGATTTTGACTAAATTTGGTCTGGAGCATCCTTAGGCCAAGGGAACTCAATTTTGTATAAATGGTGGGTGTGCCCCCCTGGGGTAAGGGGTGGGGCCCAATAGGGGAAATAGAGGTAAAACCTTTAAAATCCTTCTTCTACCGTAGGGATTAAGGGATTTTATCCTAATTTAGTCTGGAGCATCCTTGGGCCAAGGGGACTCAATTTTGTATAAATGGTGGGTCTAGTCCCCCAGGGGACTGAGGGGCGGGGCCCAATAAGGGGAATATAGCAATTCTTTAAAATCCTTCTTCTTCTGTAGGAATGAAAGGATTGGTTCCATATTTGGTTAGAACCATCCTTGGGGGAAGGGCCCCAGAACCAATTTTGTATAAACCGTGGGGCTTGAGGGGCGGGGCCCAATAGGGGAAATAGAGGTAAAACCTTTAAAGTCCTTCTTCTACCATAGGGGTGAAAGGATTTTATCCCAATTTTGTCTGGGGCATCCTTGGGCCAAGGGGAACCTTTTTTGATCCTTGGGCCAAGGGGAACCTATTTTGCATAAATGGTGGGTCTGGCCCACCAGGGGGCTGAGGGGCGGGGCTCAATAGGGGAAACATAGCAAATTATTCTTTAAAATCTTTCATCTTTTGTAGGAATGAAAGGATTTGTTCCATATTTGGTGTGGAGCATCCTTGGGTGAAGGGGAACCAATTTTATATAAATGGTGGGTCTGGCCCACCAGGGGGCTAAGGGGCGGGGCTCAATAGGGGAAACATTGCAAATTATTCTTTAAAATCTTTCTTCTTCTGTAGGAATGAAAGGATTTGTTCCATATTTGGTGTGGAGCATCCTAATGGGTAAAGAAGAACCAATTCTGGATAAACAGTAGGTATGACCCCCTGGGACCTGAGAGGCGGGGCCCAATAGGGGAAATAGAAGTAAAACCTTTATAATCCTTCTACCATAAGGATTAAGGGATTTTATCCTAATTTAGTCTTGAGCATCCTTTGGCAAAAGGGACTCAATTTAGTATAAACAGCGAGTGTGGCCCTCCTGGGGGCAGAAGGGAGGGGCCCAATAGGGGAAATATAGCAAATTCTTCAAATACCTTCTTCTGTACGAATGACAGGATTTTGTCCAAATTTGGTATGAAGCATCCTTGGATGAAGGGGAACCAATTTTGTATAAATGGTCTGTCTAGCCCCCCTGGAGGCAGAGAGTTTGGGCCCAATAGGGGAAATAGAGATAAAACCTTTAAAATCCTTCTTCTAACATAGGGATTAAGGGATTTTATCCTAATTTAGTCTGGAGCATCCTTGGGCCAAGGGGACTCAATTTTGTATAAGCAGTGGGTGTGGTCTCCCATAGGGCAGAAGGGTGGAGCTCTGTTTGAAGTTTGTTCTTGCTATATCTCAAGTACTGGATGGATCTTTCTGAAATTTTATATGTACTTACAGCAACTACCATGGAGTGCTTACCTTTACTTCATACCAATTATTTTAAACATATTCAGGTGAGCGATACAGGCCCTCTGGGCCTCTTGTTTTTATCAACAGTAAATCGTATTTATACATATTTTGTTACTTTACTTCAATTCCAGAATGACTTTTTTGTCAGTACACTCCTTCGGGTTGGCACACTTTATTTTCCTAAGATATCTTTCTTAGATATTATTTGTTTTTTTATGAAACTTGATAAGTATGTACAATATACAAAGACTTGGGCTATAAGTTCAAAGATGAAAGAAACTTGCACATAATTGATTGACATACTGCAAACTAATTGATCAATATCCACACTTAAGTTTCCACAAGATATCTTGCATCAGTATCATTCAGTTTTGATAAAACTTAATAAGCATGTACAATGAGTCTAAACTCGAAGTTGAGCAAAACTTGCAAATAATTAAGGGAATAACTGTGCACTGATTAGTCAACACTTTCTTTATGATATCTTAGTCAAATATGACTGGATTCTGATGGAACTGTACATTTGTCAACATTACTATTGTATCAAAACAAAGGCTAAGTTACACGTTGAACAAAGGTTGTGCATGGCATTGGATGGGCATATACAACTGGTTAGTAAATTTATACGAAGACAAAGGCTGGGTTCAAAGTTGAACAAAAGCTGTGTTTAATTAATTTGCATACTGTGCTCTTACTGGTAAATTGTTTCCACACATCTTACTCAACTATGGTTCTATTCTGATAAAACTGTGTCAATATTTTACGATAATTAAGGCTTCATAAGCTCAATGTTGAACAATAGCAGGGTTGCCAATCTCTAACCTGGAGCCCAATGTGGGAGATCTTCATCCACTGGGTTTTCATAAGTGTGAGACTTTTGACGGCGTGGCGGGGTAACGTCATTTTGGGTGGTGAGATAACTACCTTTATGTATTAAACAAATTCTGGCTTTCTCTAAATACTATTACATATGGATTGTTGATCTATTTACTTCAATATCCTAAAATTTGAAGGAAATACAAAAAATCCTATCGGCCTCAGGAAATACGAAACCCTTTAGGGTAAAACCATCCCCTATACCCTGCCAAAAATCTGTGTAACTAATAGTATTACCTGTACAATCTAAACTCGTTTTGAATGCAGCAAATCTGATGTTGTTAAAAAGCATTGAACAGGGGTTTACCTTTTTTTTTACAAATATTGAAAGAGTTGATTAAATCCTCCCAAACTAAAATAAAATGAATATTAAAAAACCCTTTAAGCTCAATGGAAAATCGCTTTTTGTGTATCCTCACTAGAATCTACTGTTGTAGGGTAAAACAGGATATCCGTGGATAGATGCAGGAATGAATCAGCTTAGGACAGAGGGCTGGTGTCACCATGTGGTCCGTCATGCTGTGTCCTGCTTCCTCACCCGCGGTGACCTCTGGATTAGCTGGGAGCTGGGCTGCAAGGTGAGGGTCAAGTCTGTTATTAAGGTCAGGGTTCATACAGCATAGAGGACAGCTTCGTGGGTGTCAGACCATATTTTGTCTTATTTGATAAAAACATTTTGGTTTTATCAGGGTGTATACATTATAATGGTGACTGATCACAGACAACATGAAAATAATGTAAAAGTTTGGAACTGGTAATTCATTTTTCATCATCGTGTGACCAAGAGGAATGTCAAGCTACCATGCCCAGGCCATGACATTCCAGTGAGATGGTACACTTGTCTTCATAAAACTAGAGCTGTTACAGGGATGTATAACCCGAAAGACAGTAAAACTTTTTTATGCTGCCTTCATTTAAATTGTCCAGCGAAAGTTTGGCATTATAAATTTAAAATTATTCAAGATTGTGCGTGTTTTAAGGTGACCTGAGCTTTAGCTCAAGTGATCTATTGCTATCCGTCTTCGTCCATCGTCGTGCGTCATCCGTTAACATTTTACATTTTCAACTTAAGCTGAAATACTGTCGAAGGGATTTCATTGATACTTCATGGGAATGTAACTGACATCTCCCTGACAAAGTGTTGTTGTTTTTCGGGTCTTTTTGAAAAACTATTTCAAACTTAAAGTCTAGCTCTACTGAGCCGATTTAACTGAAACTTGGTAGGAATAATTGACTCATGGTCCTGACAATGTGTTGTTATTTTTCTGATCGATCAGAAATCCAATATGCCGCCAAAGCCGCTATTTTGAAAATAACCTTTTCAAACTTAAAATCAAGTTCTAATTGGCCGATTTAATTGAAACTCAGTCTAGAAATGATCAACTCATGGTCATGACAAACTGAACGTAACGCTATATTTAACTATTTTTACTCAAATTGGTAGGAGTGAGATCACTTCATATTTCAACAACAAAAATAAATACTGTAGAACTCAGGTGACCGTTAAGGCCCATCGGCCTCTTGTTCATAATTGTGTCCACTTAGGAATTAAAAATATCAACAGGAGAGAAAAGAAAACTTAGCACCCTATAATTAATAGAAAATTGAAAGACACTCTTAATGGAATTTCATATCAAAATTATGTTGTTCTGATGGATATGAAATTTAGAATGGATTTATAAACTGCTGTGAAACAAACATGACATGATGTGATCATTCCCTGGCAGTGTCTTGGCTGGCAGCATTGTCTATTGTCTGCACAATTCATTTCTGTTTTATAACTGCTGAAAGGTTATCTTTATTATTATTATTATTATTTTTTTTTTACACATGCCTAACATATCAATTACTGCTTCAATTTGATTTGAAACAAGATCAGAAAATCTGGAAAAATGGGCACCAGCAGGGGCAGGTGTCACATCATAAATTTGGTGTTTTATATCCAAATCTGTTACCATCTACTAAATGGTACTTTCATTTCATTATACAGGTGTTTTTTAAGTACCAGCTTGATGCTGATTGGTCAGTTTGTGCTGGTAACTGGATGTGGATGTCAAGCTCAGCGTTTGAGAAAGTGTTGCAGTGCTCTACATGTTTCTGTCCTGTAGGGTACGGCAGACGCATGGATCCAAAGGGACTGTATGTGAGGTAATGCTAAATCTTTAAATTTTCTTAGTGCTGTGATAGAAAAGTTAATGAAGCTTTATAAGCCTTTATATTATGATAGTAGTAACATCTTGATACATTTAATATATTTTATCACAACAATAATGATAAATATAGCACCCTATATAATTTGTAAAATTACTCTAAATCGCTTAACAACATATAGATAAAGGTATTAGTTATAATTGTTTAACAAAAAACGCTTACAATCACCATTATACGTTAAGCAAGAAGATAATCATCTCAATCACCAGTAAATCTCAGCGTATTACGTTTTATTTAATGTATTAATGATTAATCCTTCCTTTTGTTACTCCAACATGATTATTAAGACTACTTGAGTATAGTAATATTAAAGTTGTCTAAATGGATGCTATTTAAATTGCCTGTGACAGCATATATTGTTTCCCTCCCTCCCCTGCCATAGTATTGATGCAGAAGAGCTGCTGATGTCACAATCTCATTTAACATTCAAAAGTGTGATCATACATATTACTAAATTGGGTTTTTACTTTGTAGACGATACGTACCTGTTTTGAAGGACATGCCATTACAGTACTTGTTTGAACCGTGGAAGGCTCCCTATCACATACAGGAAAAGGCTAAGTGTATCATTGGAAAAGACTATCCACGACCGATTGTGGATCACAAGGTAGCCTCCAAGTACTGCCGCAACAAGATGATGGAAGTTCACAGACGACTTGCTACCTCGAGTAAGTTGGGTGTGGTGGCTTTATCATGTCACAGTTTTACTATATTCAAGATCAACAATGTCCTCAGACAACTAATGGTACATTGATATAGCAAATAACTAATCGGGTAAACTATTGAATATAAACATCAAAGCCATTGATGAGAAAGTTGAATAAACAGTAATTAAAGTTTTGACGTAAAAGCCAGTTGATAAATTGAACAGTTACCTTTAAAAAATCAAAATATTAAACTGTTTTTAGGTCACCTGAGACAAAGTTTCCAGTGAACTATTGCGATTGCCTTTTGTCCTGCGTCGTGCATCCGAAAACAATTTACATTTTCAACTTCTTCTTTAAAACCACTGAACCAAGTGTTGTAATGAAATTTAGTGAATCTAAATTGGGAATTATATGGTCCCCAATCCCCAGGGGCCTGAGGGGTGGGGTCAAAAAGGGTCAAATTGACTCAAATTTCATTTTTTTTCTCCACACCCAGATATGGTAGAATCAAATACTCTTCATGGATGGAAGGATCTTATCGTACTTTACCAAAATTGTAAATTTCATGACCCCAGGGTCGGACATTTCCCCCTGGGGAGGGGGTAAAATTTACTATAGTTTATATAGGAAATTGATATTTATGAGCATAATTTGTTTAATTTCCATTGGAAATCATTCAAATTTGGTTGTAGTTATAAGTATAGGATGATGGTTTGATTGTATGCACATATTGACCTGGCTGACCCCCAGGGGTTGATGGGAGGGGCTAGAAGGGGTCAAATTGACTAAAATTTAAAAAATCTTCTTAAGTCCCAGATAAGGTAGAATCAAATTCTTTTATTTGTGGGTGGATGGTTCTTAAGGCTATTACCAAAATTGTGAATTTCATGACTGCAGGATCTCACATTTTCTCCTAAGGTATAAAATCTTTATTTTTGGCTGGTGGCTTCCTGGGATAGAGCCTGACAAAGTTTGAGAATGAAAATGACCTTTACCTACTTTCAAGGTCAAAGGGGTCAAATATGCAAACTCTTTAAACGACTTCTTCTGAAGAACTAAAAGTTATAGAACCTTCATATTTGGCTGGTGGCTTCCTGGGATAGAGCCAAACGAAGTCTGAGAATGAAAACGACTTTGACCTCTTTTCAAGGTCACAGCAATCAAATATGTCAAACACTTCAAATGACTTCACATGAAGAACTAAAAGGTATATAATCTTCAAAATTGGCTGGTGGTTTCCTTGGATAGAGCCAGACAAAGTTTGTGAATGAAAATTTTCTTGACCTACTTTCAAGGTCACAGTGGTCAAATATGTCAAACTCTTCAAACGACTTCTTCTGAAGAACTAAAAGGTGTAGAACCTTCATGTTTGCCTTGTGGCTTCCTGAGATAGAGCCCGAGAAAGTTTGAAAATGAAAATGACTTTGACCTTCTTCAAGGTCACAGATGTCAAATATGTCAAAAACATCAAGCAACATCTGAAGAAAAAACGAAAGGCATAAAATTATAATATTTGGCTAGTGGCGACTTGGGATAGAGCTCACCAAAATTTGCAAATTTAAATGACCTCAACCTATTTTCAATGTCACAGAGGTAATAAACATTTCAAAGGATTTGTTCTGAAGAACCAAAAGGAATGGATTCATAAGATTTGGCTGGTAGCTTTTTGGGACAGAGCTATACAAGTTTGAGAAGGAAAATGAATCGACATACTTACAAGGTCACAGGGAAAAAATATGTCAAACAACTTTTGAAGAAGAACAATGGCCAAAAATCATAAACTCTTATAATAAAATTTGACTGGTAGTTTCAACAGATGGAGCCGACAAAGTTTGCGAGTGATAAATTTTGTAGTACAATATAAAATTTAATGAGAATATTTGCTATGACTGCTTAATTATTCAGGCGAGCAGTACAGGCCCTCTTGGGCCTTTTGTTTATGTTCAGTATAAAAAGATGCAAAGCTTCCAAATGGCAAATTACAATACACAAAAACTCTTCATTGTTGAATCAATATATTAGATACTTGATAGGACAGCTTTTCTTTTTACTTTTGCATTACATGTAGTTCAAGTTACCTTTGTTACAAAATGATTTCTTTTTCATTTGGCAACTTAAATTACATCAGTTTTTACATAACTCAGGTGACCGTTAAGGCCCATGGGCCTCTTGTTATGTATTTGATGTCATTTTAAACTTCGAATTAAGCTGAAATAAGTTCCATGTTATTTAACCTACGTGGACTAAACTTACCATATTTATGTATCTTGGGAAGGTGGAATCTCTCGCACTAAAATCAGGTTTTGTGCCCCACTATATACAGAGTTATGGCCCTTTGTTAATTTTTAATACCGAAGTTTGTCCACGACATAACTTCTAAACCATTTCAGATATCTTAATCAAACTTGAAGTATACCTGCATCACCCACAGAAGGTGTGCAGTGCACTGGAATTAGGTCTCGTGCTTCACTATATACAGAGTAATGACACTTTGTTTAATTTTAATATCAAAGTTTGTCTGGAGCATAAGTTCCATGTTATTTCACCTACGTTGACAAAACTTACCATATTTATGTATCTTGGGAAGGTGGAATCTCTCTTACTAAAATCAGGTTTTGTGCCTCATTATATACAGAGTAATGGCCCTTTGTTTATTTTTAATACTGAAGTTTGTCCACGGCATATCTTCATAGTTATTTCACCTACGTTGACCAAATTTGCTATAGTTTTAATGTATCTTGGGAAGTAGGAGTGTTGTTTTCTAAATTCAGGTATCGTGCCCCACTATATAAAGAGATTTTTATTTTTATACCAAAGTCTATTGGCTAATAAGGGGAGACATATGTTTTTGTTCGCAAAAACAAAATTCTAGTTGATATATGATATTGACTCTTTAAGGAAAGTAAAGCACCCATCCACTGAAAAAAAAGCTTTCATACAGAATGAAACTATGTGCTGTTAACCTGTTTTCAAACTATCAAAAGATTTGCTTAAAACATCCATGTTTCTATCATGAGTCTTGTACAGCTATAATTACTTTGAAAGCATTGAAACAGTATACTGGTTTTGATGAAAAGTGTTAGCTTTCCTTATGTGTAAAACCTTTAAAGTGTCAGACAGTAAAATAGTTGAAATGTTGACAAAGAATCATGAGCGGCTAGTCTAACAAGGATTTGATCACTCATCTAAACAGGTAAATAACCCTGAGAATCCATTTTCAATCAAATTCAGCGTCAATAAATAATACATTTTCAATCGATTTTGATTGCACTTTGATGGATGCTGACGACTTCTTCCACAGCTCTTCATCAATTTATTGTTCACAGTTTTTGATGCAAGAATAAAACAGAAACCAAAATTGTGTATTATGTATACTTAGGATCAAATGTCTTTAAGTGACACATGTCTGTTTGTCTTTAAGGTCCTATTCCCCACTGTGCTCCATCAAATTCCAAGGAAGCAAGTCTGTTCTGCTGGTTACCAGAATTGGAGGTTTCGTCGCTGTGTAATCATACAGAACACTTGGTGCCAGAGCAGAAATCTCGTACATAAGTGTCATAAAGGCGCGAGACCCAGGGCCTGTTCGTTTATGCAGATCAATTGGTTTGATCATTTTAAAATATAACATTTTCGGGTATAAATCCTGGCAGACTATAGCAAATGTTTATGCAGGCCTTGCAAGGCTTTGTCAAGGCTTGTCTTAAAGCAGCATCAGATTACTAGGTCTGACCTTATTTAATAAACGAACGACTGTGGTCCAACCGGTTCATCTGTTTAAAACGAAAACGGCCCCATTCATCTGTAGTGTCAATAACTCGGACCCAATTATCACTGTTGTGCCAATTCCCTTTGTTGTGTGTATGTGATTACTGAATGTGTTCAAGGACTAAATTTCAGTGTAGGAGTTTCCGACCCAATTATCACTGTTGTGGCAATTCCCTTTGTTGTGTGTATGTGATTACTGAATGTGTTCAAGTACTAAATTTCAGTGTAGGAAATTCTGACCCAATCATTGCCGGTGTGCCAAATGTTGTGCTATTGTGTGTACGCCATCTTTTGTTTGAATGTAAAAATGTTTCTTTTAGGAGCTTTATCAGAGCACAAAATACTGTAGATTGTTTTATGATGGAGACTATCAATCAGTGCCGTAAACTTATCTTGTTTTGCATTTATTTTATTAACATTTGATAGCGGACAGATTTCCTACAAGGTTACATTTTACCATAACCATGCATCGAAAACACTTCAAGGATCCAGTAATGGTAAAATAGGGAGTGGGCTTCTTTCCAGGTGTGGGCATTATAAATAGTAATAACGGTTGTTAGAACTAAGCATTATTAGTTTATTTCTACATTTTATTAGGTCACCTGAGCTTTAGCTTCTCTTCCCCCAGAAAAAAAAATAACTAGGGGGGAAAGAATCAGCTAGCTAATATCCCCCCCCCCCCCCCCCCCCCTAGTTCCTATTACAGAGAGGGGGAAGAATCAGCTAGCCAATAGTTTCCCCCAAGTTGCTAACACAGAGAGGGGGAAGAATCAGCTAGCCAATAGTTTCCCCCAAGTTGCTAACACAGAGAGGGGGAAGAATCAGCTAGCCAATAGTTTCCCCCAAGTTGCTAACACAGAGAGGGGGAAAGAATCAGCTAGTCAATAGTTTTCCCCTAGTTGCTAACACAGAGAGGGGGAAAGAATCGGCTAGCCAATAGTTTTCCCCTAGTTGCTAACCCAGAGAGGGGGAAAGAATCGGCTAGCCAATAGTTTTCCCCTAGTTGCTAACCCAGAGAGGGGGAAAGAATCAGCGAGCCAATAGTTTCCCCCTATTTGCTAACACAGAGAGGGAGAAAGAATCAGCTAGCCAATAGTTTCCCCCTAGTTGCTAACACAGAGGGAGGTAAGAATCAGCTAGCCAATAGTTTCCCCCTAGTTGCTAACACAGAGAGGGGGTAAGAATCAGCTAGCCAATAGTTTCCCCCTAGTTGCTAACACAGAGAGGGGGAAAGAATCAGCTAGCCAATAGTTTCCCCCTAGTTGCTAACACAGAGAGGGGGAAAGAATCAGCTAGCCAATAGTTTCCCCCTAGTTGCTAACACAGAGAGGGGGAAAGAATCAGCTAGCCAATAGTTTCCCCCTAGTTGCTAACACAGAGAGGGGGAAGAATCAGCTAGCCAATAGTTTTCCCCTAGTTGCTAACACAGAGAGGGGGTAAGAATCAGCTAGCCAATAGTTTCCACCCTAGTTGCTAACACAGAGAAAGGGTAGGAATCAGCTAGCCAATAGTTTTCCCCTAGTTGCTAACACAGAGAGGGGGTAAGAATCAGCTAGCCAATAGCTTCCACCCTAATAACTATTACAGAGAGGGGAAAGCTTGGCTAGTCACCAATATCCTCAATTAACAAACACTTTGAAGGGGGTGGGGGGTGGGGAGCATTAACTAGCAGATTTCTTCCCCGGGGAAAAAACTTACTGAGGGAGGAAATGGCTAGCTGATTTTTTCCCTGGGGAAACTTGCAGATGGGGAAAGAAATGATTTTTACACCGGTACCTAATACTGTGATATGATATTAAAGATTACTATACAAGTGCACAAACTGGTTTGATAGTTTTGCATAAATTTCATTGTTTGTTTAATGTATCAGTATGCAAACTAGTTGCTTACTTTGTATTATTTATTCTGACTCTTTCTTTTACCAAGAATGCATGGTAGTTGTTAACTGTAAGGAATTATTTGTGGTGAATGGTACTAGTCCCATAACAATATTTTATCAATAGATAATACAAGGGCTATTTAGTTAGTATGCAGCTTACTGTTCTAGTTTTTGTCGTCATTTTAAGAATGTTGTATCTTGATTGTACATGAAATTGTCTTAACTATTGTTTCCAGACTGATATAAATATGACGAATTTCTAGATTTACATCATATCGTAGGGGTGTCAAAATGGTCAAATGTGACAAGCCCAATATGTGAGACTCTCGTCATTGTCTGTCGAGTGACAATAAAATCATGATTCCTTTAAAAGAGTTTAATAAAACATTAAATTGTATGGACACTGTAGTGGTATATGGCAGTGACACACTACAGGGACATTAAATGGAAGTCCCTGAATACATTGTTTACATCTTTCACACGCATTTAACATTTTAAATGTTCGTTTTAAAGATGCCTCATTGGATAGTTTCAAGAGTTCACTTGTATAAGAGTTGTGAAAATCAAGCATCATGAGGATTACATTGAACACAGGTTAATTGCAATCAAAGCAATATTGATATAAAAATGAGTTCAAGATAATATAATTATGCTCATATGTTCCCAGTATATGTTGACATATCTCACTGAATACCCCGTTTATAAGGCCACATTTGCTGATTTTAAACAGAAGGAGAGAAATTGGAGAAAGATTTTCGAACATTTGTTTTCATCTAACACAGCAGATTTTTTGTAAAAGAACATGAAATAATCAATAAAATGAGGCTGTGATATTATTAACTTTTTTATACAAAAATATCCGATTTTCTTTCAATTTTTGCAAATTATGCTTAATCAGATCTAGATAAGAACATTTTTTGGAAAAAGAATAATGAATTTTTTGTGGGGTCATGGGTAAACACATTTTTGGGTGCATATAGTTGTCTCTTGAATGCTTATATCTCCAGGTATCCAAAACAAATTGATAATTTTAAAATAATTACTCCTATGTAAACCAATAAAATGAATGAGTCCCCATCAGGAGGGGAAGTGTTCTAATTTTGGGGTCACCAACGCCAATGTCAGGGTCACAGTGACAAAACAAATTTTGGGGAAACATTTTTCTGGATGCAATCTCTTGAATAATACATCAAATCTAAACTAGACTTGGATGGCTGATGCCAGTTAGAAAGTGATCCTTATTGAGTTTGTAGTTTCTAGGTCAAAGGTCAAGATCACAGTATCTATCATTGGTATGAAATTTTGTAAAAAATATTGATTTCCAGATGGTATCACTTGAACAATTAAGATCCTAACCAAAGATAAGAGGTTTTTGGGTTTACCAAGTGACACATTAAGTTCATGTTAGCTAAAGTCTAATTTCTATAGTATCTTTGTTTCTTGAATCTGATTTTTGTGTTGTATTTTTCAGTACTATATTTTGGCATATGCCCCCAGTCAAGAAGCCTATTCGAGGAGTGTATGATGGTTTTATTCATTTTTTGCACTAGTTTTCACATGTCACAGTGAGACTGTTTGTAAAAAACATAAAAAATAAATGAAATGAAGCTATTTAATACTTGTTTACATAAAATATCCATTTTCTATTATGTTTTGGATTAACGGTCAGCAACATCTAGATATCTTATGTGCACATTGCTTGTTAAATGTATGAAAGTGATTGCAAGCCTTTGTTGTTTGTTTTCACAATTATAACCATTATTATTATTTTAATTGATTTTGAGCTGACTCTGATTGGCTGAAACAACATCATGTGACCACCTGTAAAAGTAGTTATAAACCTGAGTGGTTTGCAGGTGTTCAAAAAAGTTGGTAGAACAAGTGTTATTGACCTGCTGTAAATAGATTCTGGAACAGGTGTTCAAAAAAGTTGGTAGAAAAAGTGTTATTGACCTGCTATAAATAGATTCTGGAATTTTTGTAAAAAAGTTGGTAGAAAAAGTGTTATTGACCTGCTATAAATAGATTCTGGAAAAAAAATGGNACTTCATGTGACCACCAGTAAAGGTAGTTATAAACCTGAGTGGTTTGCAGGTGTTCAAAAAAGTTGGTAGAACAAGTGTTATTGACCTGCTATAAATAGATTCTGGAACAGGTATTCAAAAAAGTTGGTAGATAAAGTGTTATTGACCTGCTATAAATAGATTCTGGAACAGGTGTTTAAAAAAGTTGGTAGATAAAGTGTTATTGACCTGCTATAAATAAATTCTGGAATTTTTGTGAAGTCATTAAGATGCTTGATTAACACCCCATGGGAGACAAACACAGTAATGATCAAGATTAACACTGAAGTCACTTGGATGCTTGATACTGCCCATCATATTATAGACATATTCCACGGATTTTAAAGTGCTGCTAACTGTGTCAGTAAAATAAAGGATTGATTCAGTAATTTGATCAATGATTATTGCAGATATTTAAATGATTATTGCAGGTATTTAATTAAAAAAATGTTATTTTTCTGATATTTTTGTTTAGTTGATTTTAAAATTTGTGACTAAAATAAAATGGAAAATAAAATGGAAAACTATTTTTTTACATTTTTTCTTCAATTTTGAAAAATCAATTAAAATAATAAAACTATTGTAGCATGGTGATTTCGGTCGATACGTGGTTTTATCGACCTAGGTTAGCAATATTGACCTCGGACTGCGTCCTCGGTCAATATTGCTTACCTAGGTCGATAAAACCATGTATCGACCTCATCACCATGCTATAATTGTATACTATTATCCATATGTTGTAAAGCGCCTTAGAGTAATTTTACAAATTATATAGGGCGCTATATATATGCTGTATATTATTATTATTATTATCTTTAATACATTCCAAATTAAAGATGATTAAATTACCATTCTAATAACATGTAGTGTGTTGGAGTAAAATCTTTTGTGTATTCTATATCCTAAAGTGCTTACTCACGCTGTTCCCATAGTAAAGTACACGTTACAGTCTATCTATACATGTTACAGTCTATCTATACATGTTACAGTCTATCTATACATGTTACAGTCTATCTATACATGTTATCTCTGTGTAATTACCAACAATACAGAGGCATGTTTTACTTGAATAGATAAGATTCTGGCTTTGAGTTTTTCATCTCAAGTTTTGTGTTCTGTTTGAGTGACTACACTGTACAAGTTAAGTATCTACTGTGACATAGAACCTTATGAGAAAATATAAAGTATATCACTTTATGTGAAAATGAAATCACCAAGAATAATTTCACTGAAATGAAACTGTTTGTTAATTATATGTTGTAGAACAGTCTGGTTACTGGAGTAATTATTGTTATACAAGTTTGTTGAGCTTTTTGTTATCTGAATGTCAAGATAAATGGAATATTAAAATGTTGAAAAAGTGCGTTTTTTAGTCATTATAAACAATATTACAAGGTGCCTATAAAACCACATCTGGTGCAAAAGGACTGGGGCATTAGGGGTCATGGATTAAGAGTAAGTTGTTATATTCGTTATCTTGAATAAAGAATGCAAATATGAAATTTCAAATTCTTTCGACAACTAGTTTAGGAGATATGGTATTACAAATAGAGACACCACTCCGCATTTTCACCATAAAATGCATGAAAATTGTCTGTTGTGCTCTATTTGGTTGAAAATTCACCATTTTGAAGGAAATTAACTAGACACTTTTCAATTTTTGAAAGACTGCATGTACCCAACAAAAATATATTTGCCATGCTTAAACATTGTCAGACCAGTGCTCATTCGTAGACAAGTTTTTGTTAGTCACATGCGGAAGCTATTATTTCTGCATACTAACTGTCCAAAAACACCATATATCGTCTATTTCTGCATAGCAATGCAATTTTGTTGCTGTGGTAGGGCATCTACGCATGCGTGTTGGAAAAAATCTGCACCAAGAAATATAGCCCCAATGAACCAATATGATGTTTTATAATAGAAAATGGTAAATAAATTCAAATTGAAATTTTCACTTTATATGAGGCCAAAAATGACCCATAACGCCCCAAGTCCTTTGACAACATAATTATAAAGAGGATAACACTTCCAGCACATGGAATTTACGGTCAACGAGAATGAAGCTGACCTGGTCCAAAGGACAAGGCGAGCAATTGCCCTGACGTGGTGTCCGTCTGTCGGTCAACTTTGTTATAGAGGACTTTTCCTTCCTCAGTTCTACAGGAAAGAATTGGATCAGATTTGGTACAGCTATTTGTCTCATGGCCCTCAACAAGTGGTCTTAAGTTTTACTCATTACTGTATACTGGGAAAGATCGCCCAGTCAAACTTTCGCCCTTCCCCAGTAAAATCAATATTCGCCCAGTGTTGATTTCGCCTTTGCATTTAGTTACTTTGCATTTTGTGTTGTTAAAAAATCGTCGCTGTAATGATAAATTCGTCCTCTTTACGGTAGGCGAAATATAAACTGCATCGAAAATTTCCTGGTTTTGCTAGTGGCATATAAAATGAACTGTTATTTCTCACATTTGTTCAACAGTATTCATGTTAAACTGGGTGAGTGATTTAGGCCCACTGGGCCTCTTGTTATTCATAGTAATCGTGGTAGTATTTGTCATTCAATCATTGTAATTGTAGTTGGCACTTCATCAATATGATTGAAGTTATTATTCATGGTCAATGTTCATGAAGTTGGCATTCATATCCAACGTAAAAGTGTACGTAGCTGGTATTTACAGTGAGATGTTTGCCAAGTTGATCGCAAGCGGTTTCAAGAACAAATGCTTACACTTTATGTTCATGTTAGGTCCAGTTGATAAGAATCTATTAGCTAGAATTTGTCAACTGAAACAGTCTGTTACATAAACTAACATGCTTTTCATTTATCTTAATGTATATTAGTGTAAACGCTTACCAAATTATTGATCTGCAGGCCTAGCACAAAAGTGTTTCACTGTAGGCGTTCCTACACAGAGTGCCACTGTAGGCGTTCCTACACAGAGTGCCACTATAAGCGTTCCTACACAGAGTGCCACTGAAGGCGTTCCTACACAGAGTGCCACTGTAAGCATTCCTACACAGAGTGCTACTGTAGGCGTTCCTACACAGAGTGCCACTATAAGCGTTGCTACACAGAGTGCCACTGTAGGCGTTCCTCCACAGAGTGCCACTAAAAGCGTTCCTACACAGAGTGCCACTGTAGGAGTTCCTACACAGAGTGCCACTGTAAGCGTTCCTACACTGAGTGCCACTGTAGGCGTTCCTTCACAGAGTGCCACTGTAGGCATTCATACACAGAGTGCCACTGTAGGCGTTCCTACACTGAGTGCCACTGTAGGCATTCCTTCACAGAGTGCCACTGTAGGCATTCCTACACAGAGTGCCACTGTAAGCGTTCCTACTCAGAGTGCCACTGTAGGTGTTCCTACACAGAGGGCCACTGTAGGTGTTCCTACACAGAGTGCCTCTGTAGGTGTTCCTACACAGAGTGCCACTGTAGGCGTTGCTACACAGAGTGCCACTGTAGGCGTTCCTACACAGAGTGCCACTAAAAGCGTTCCTACACAGAGTGCCACTGTAGGCGTACCTACACAGAGTGCCACTGTAAGCGTTCCTACTCAGAGTGCCACTGTAGGTGTTCCTACACAGAGTGCCTCTGTAGGTGTTCCTACACAGAGTGCCACTGTAAGCGTTCCTACACAGAGTGCCACTGTAGGTGTTCCTACACAGAGTGCCACTAAAAGCGTTCCTACACAGAGTGCCACTGTAAGCGTTCCTACACAGAGCGCCACTGTAGGCGTTCCTACACAGAGTGCAACTGTTGGCATTCCCACACAGTGCCACTGTAGGGGTTCCTACACAGAGTGCCACTGTAGGCGTTTCTACACAGAGTGCCACTGTAGGCGTTCCTACCCAGAGTGCCACTCTAGGCGTTCCTACACAGAGTGCCACTGTATGCGTTCCTACACAGAGTGCCGCTGTAGGCGTTCCTACACAGAGTGCCACTAAAAGCGTTCCTACACTGAGTGCCACTGTAAGCGTTCCTACACTGAGTGCCACTGTAGGCGTTCCTACACACAGTGCCACTGTAGGTAGCACAAAAGAGTTTCACTGTAGGCGTTCCTACACAGAGTGCCACTGCAGGCGTTCCTACACAGAGTGCCACGGTAAGCGTTCCTACACAGAGTGCCACTGTAAGCGGTCCTACACAGAGTGCCACTGTAGGCGTTCCTCCACAGAGTGCCACTAAAAGCGTTCCTACACTGAGTGCCACTGTAAGCGTTCCTACACTGAGTGCCACTGTAGGCATTCCTTCACAGAGTGCCACTGTAGGCATTCCTACACAGAGTGCCACTGTAGGCGTTCCTATACAGAGTGCCACTGTAGGCATTCCCACACAGAGCCACTGTAGGCGTTCCTACACACAGAGTGCCACCGTAGGCCTTCCTACACAGAGTGCCACTGTAGGTGTTACTACACAGAGTGCCACTGTAGGCGTTCCTCCACAGAGTGCCACTAAAAGCGTTCCTACACAGAGTGCCACTGTAAGCGGTCCTACACAGAGTGCCACTGTAGGCGTTCCTCCACAGAGTGCCACTAAAAGCGTTCCTACACAGAGTGCCACTGTAAGCGGTCCTACACAGAGTGCCACTGTAGGCGTTCCTATACAGAGTGCCACTGTAGGCATTCCCACACAGAGCCACTGTAGGCGTTCCTACACACAGAGTGCCACTGTAGGCGTTCCTACCCAGAGTGCCACTGTAGGCGTTCCTACACACAGTGCCAGTGTAGAGATTCCTACACAGAGTGCCACTGTAGGCGTTCCTCCACAGAGTGCCACTAAAAGCGTTCCTACACTGAGTGCCACTGTAAGCGTTCCTACACTGAGTGCCACTGTAGGCGTTCCTTCACAGAGTGCCACTGTAGGCATTCCTACACAGAGTGCCACTGTAGGCGTTCCTATACAGAGTGCCACTGTAGGCATTCCCACACAGTGCCACTGTAGGCCTTCCTACACACAGAGTGCCACTGTAGGCGTTCCTACACAGAGTGCCACTGTAGGCGTTCCTACACAGAGTGCCACTGTTGGCATTCCCACACAGTGCCACTGTAGGTGTTCCTACACAGAGTGCCACTGTAGGCGTTCCTCCACAGCGTGCGTCGCCTTAATTTTGTTCGGGATATCCCGTTACTTATGTTGCTCGATTGAACCAGGTACTACTGTTGCCTTCACAGAGTGCCACTGTAGGCATTCCCACCCAGTCCCACCGCAGGCGTTCCTACCCACAGTGCCACTGTAGGCGTTCCTACGCAGAGTGCCACTGTAGGCGTTCCTATACAGAGTGCCACTGTAGGCGTTCCTAGACAGAGTGCCACTGTTGGCATTCCCACACAGTGCCACTGTAGGCGTTGCTACACAGAGTGCCACTGTAGGCGTTCCTACACAGAGTGCCACTGTAGGCGTTCCTACACAGAGTGCGTCGCCTTAATTTTGTTCGGGATATACCGTTACTTATGTTGCTCGATTGAACCAGGTACTACTGTTGGCTCGGTAGCTCGCGATCGATCAGTCGGTTATTACAGTATATATAGAGACCTTGGGGCCCCAGTCTTTAAATCCTAATCCACACCCGTTATGTTTTTACACTCTGTTTTTATTATAATTATCACTTTTTCATAAGGAATTCTTGAGCTAATTCAAAACTCCTCCTGATGAATAGTTAGACATACTTAGCTTGACAAAACGTTGTAAGAACGAAGAATGACTAATGTTTGATGAGTAAATGTGCATAAATTTTGGTGATATTGAAATCTAATATTGTCTAAAGAGCATCTAACAAATGGTCATAATTATCATTTATTTAATGTTTATTCCCTTCGAATCCAAGATATCCTCTACTGTGGACAATAGCGTATATGTTTTACGTTGCTAGAAAACCATATGTTTCTGTTCGTGACTAGTTAAATAGGAAATTATTTAATTTCGGAGCCAATTTAAAATACATGTACGAGCTTTTCATTATTCAACTCTTATCTGAATGAATCATCTTCCAAAAATATTATATTGAGTTAGTTTCACCATGTGCAATATCATTTAATTTGCTGCAGGCACATTTGAACTTTTTCTGGATTTATATTTTATACTTTCCCATATTTCCCTTATTTATGCATTGCATGTAAGCTAGCCAAAGAGGCATAATGTAACTTTGAAATATTTCCATGGTTAGATGTTAAAAAAACTCTACGATATGTAGATAACAGAAATATCGGTGAAAAATAAGAGTAATTTATACAAAACAACATTATTTATTCCAAAAAAGCAAAATAAAACACTAAACAAACATAGCGCATACACACACTAATGTAAGACAATAGTCTTCAACTCGTGGTAGAATTCTAGGTCAACAAAGAACCGAGACCAGCTCTGCTCAAGGCAACACCTTATAAATATAACAGAACTTGGCTATTGTGGCCGGCACAACAGATCAATAATTTACTTCTCAATCATTAAATAACACACATCGTAATTTGTCCCGAATTGTTTCTCATGGACTAATCTGAAGAGATATGAATGCACAAATTACTATATATTATAAACCATACACGAAAAATATGTAACGATTAAACAGTACTGTATCGAAATACCGAAATGTTTGTTTATAAATTATGAGAAGAAATTATGGAGGTATTCAGTTTCTCAACATGATGATTTGTGTTCGATGTGAAGAATGGAATTCTTATAAGAAAACGATGACACTCATCCTTCACTCCTCCTCGTCTTCTTCTGTCAGAGTAGCGGCTTCTACTATTGGGGATTGGACATCATCTGTGTTATCATTCTCATCTGTGTTGTCATCGTCATTATTGTTTTCATCGTCATTATTGTTTTCATCGTTAATAACATTGTTGAAATTGTTATCGTTATTTTCATCATTGTTATCATAATTGTCATCGTTATTATCATTTTGATCACCGTTATCATTGTTATCATCAAATTGGTCATCAACATTATCATTGTTATCATCAAATTGATTATCGTTGTTATCATTATTATCATCGAATTGATCATCGTTGTTATCATTGTTATCATCGAATTGATCATCGTTGTTATCATTGTTATCATCGAATTGATCATCGTTGTTATCGTTGTTATCATTGGTATCATCAAATTGGTCATCAACATTATCATTGTTATCATCAAATTGATTATCGTTGTTATCATTGTTATCATCGAATTGATCATCGTTGTTATCATTGTTATCATCGAATTGGTCATCGTTGTTATCATTGTTATCATCAAATTGATCATCGTTGTTATCATTGTTATCATCGAATTGATCATCGTTGTTATCATTGTTATCATCAAATTGATCATTGTTATTATCATTACTATCATCGTTGTTATCATGGTTATCATCGTTATGATCGTCATTGTTTTCGTTGCTGTTACCATCATTCTGATCATAAATGCCATCATCATTTATATCATCGCCGTTATCGTCGAAATTATCGTTGGCGTTGTTCAAATCATCACTGTTGGTATAAGTATCCACGAAAGTGTCATCGTTTCCATCGTTTAATCGTTCAAATCTCATTCCGATCCTGTCTATCACATTGCCACCTGGACTAAGTGCTGACGGATCTACCGACAAACCATTGTTAAATGCATCACCTAATAAATCACTGTCTTCATTTGGAGACAGCATCGTGAGAATGGTGCTGACGCTAGAGGCATCGTCTAACAAGTCGTTGTTGACGGTATTGTCTAGATGTTTACCACCAGATCCTGTAGTAAGACTCGAGCTTGCAGCGTCAGTATCATCCACTGTGCCGGTGTTGAGATTGTCTCCCAATACTCCGCTCTCTTCATTTAATATATCGCCCTTTGGCTCTACCACAAAAACGTCACTCAGCAAATCAGTAAACACATCGTCGAAATTGTCATCGTACTTATCCGTTTTGCTGTCACCAATATCAGTGTCACCATTGTTGCTATCACCTTTGCTGGCATCGCTTTTATTTTCATCATCACCATCATTGTCTTCACCGTTGTCTTTACTTTTATCATCGTCACTGTCAGTTGAATCATCATCGTTTTGATTACTTTTATCATCGTCACTGTTAGTTGAATCATCATCGTTTTGATTACTTTTATCATCGTCACTGTCAGTTGAATCATCATCGTTTTGATTACTTTTATCATCGTCACTGTCAGTTGAATCATCATCGTTTTGATTACTTTTATCATCGTCACTGTCAGTTGAATCATCATCGTTTTGATTACTTTTATCATCGTCACTGTCAGTTGAATCATCATCGTTTTGATTACTTTTATCATCGTCACTGTCAGTTGAATCATCATCGTTTTGATTACTTTTATCATCGTCACTGTCAGTTGAATTATCAGTTTCTTTATTACTTTCGTCAGATTTGTCATCATTTTTGTTATTACCACTTTCATTGGAATCCTGATTATTAGAATTATCATCGCTGTTGTCCGTATCATCATTGTCATTTCCGCTAGAATTTGTGCTGTCATCGGAATTCTTACTATTTTCTTTAGAATTATCGTCATCATCATCGTTGCTATTTTCATTGCTGTTTTGATGGTCATCATCAACATCATCAGCAGAGTTATCATTATCGCCACCACTCGCTTTTTCTTTGCCGTCATCGTCGTCGTTACGATTACTCTTTATTTTGTTAGAACCAGCAACTTTCTTATCGTCATCATTCGAATCGTCAGACATTAAATCATTCAACAAAGAGTCGATATTGATATCTCCTTTCAAATCGTTGTCATCATTTTCGTTGCTGTTTCCTTCACTATTATTACTGTCGTCGTCGTCACCACTTTTCTTGCTATCATTTTCATCACTGTCATTCTTACTGGAATCATCACTGCTTTTTCCATTGTCACTATCTTCACTATTGTCTTTACTATCATTGTCATCACTGCCATCTTTACTAACGTCATCATTGCCATCACTATCCTCATTGCTATCGTCGCCACTGTTTTTCTTGCTATCATTATTATCACTGACATTACTGTCGTCCTGGCTATCTTTGCTGCCACTGTCACTATTTTTGCTGCCACTGTCGTTACTGTCATCATCACTTTCGTTGCTGTCCTCATTCCCACTGTCATCACTGGCTTCACCATCGCCACTGTCACTTTTATTGCTTTTATCATCGTCGCTGTCACTTTTGTTGCTTTTGTCATCGTCGCTGTTACTTTCGTTGCTTTCATCATCGCCGCTGTCACTTTTGTTGCTTTTGTCATCGTCGCTGTCGCTTTCGTTGCTTTCATCATCGCCACTGTCATTTTTGTTGCTTTTGTCATCGTCGCTGTCACTTTCATTGCTTTCATCATCACCACTCTCACTGTTGTTGCTTTTGTCATCGTTGCTGTCGCTTTCATTACTTTTTTCATCGCCACTGTCGCTGCTGTTGCTTTCATCATCGCCACTGTCACTTTCGTTGCTTTTATCATCGCCACTGTCGCTTTCGTTGCTTTCATCATCGCCACTGTCATTTTTGTTGCTTTTGTCATCGTCGCTGTCACTTTCATTGCTTTCATCATCACCACTCTCACTGTTGTTGCTTTTGTCATCGTTGCTGTCGCTTTCATTACTTTTTTCATCACCACTGTCGCTGCTGTTGCTTTCATCATCGCCACTGTCGCTTTCGTTGCTTTCAGCATCGCCACTGTCACTTTCGTTGCTTTCATCATCGCCACTGTCGCTTTCGTTGCTTTCATCATCGCCACTGTCACTTTCGTTGCTGTCATTATCATTACTGTTATCACCACTGTCTTTGCTCTCACTATCTCCACTGTCATCACTGTTTTCGTTGCTTCCATCTTCACTATTGCTTTTGTTATTACTAGTTTCACTATCACTCTCATTGTTGCTTTCATCATTATCACTGTCGCCATTACTTTGTTTGCTGTTCTCATCGCTACTGTCACCGTTGCTTTCATTGCTGTCTTGATCACTATTGTCATTATTACTTTGTTTGCTGTCTTCATCATCGCTATTTTTGCTATCATCATCATCGTCTTTGCTGCTTTCATCATCATCACCACTGTCATCATTGCTTTCGTTGCTGTCATCATCCTGACTATCTTTGCTTTCTTTACTGTCAGTACCGCCACTTACATCACCACTGTCGTTGCTGTCGACATTACTCAATTCGTCGCTAATATCGGCACTGCTTTCATTACTGTCATCTTGACTGTCGTCTCTGCTGACATTGCTTTCATCATCATTGCCATCACTGCTGTCAGTGACGTCACTATGCTCGTTGTCATTGCTGGAATCTTCTTCATTGCTGCTTTCATCATCATCTTCGCTACTCAAGCTATGATCTTCAACATCACTATCATCCTCGCTTCCAAGATCTTCGCTGCTGCCACTAGTCACGTGACTGTCGGGTTCATGCTCCTCGTACTCCTCCTCCTCTGATTCTGGGTAAGGTTCAGGTTCAGTATCAGCATGGCCCAGTGGAGACACCAATAAATCATCCTCGAGGTGTTCAGATTGCGGTCCCACCTCCTACAGAGATGTCAAAAACAAATATATAACCATACATCCATCATTAACATTGTGTCTACATAATTATGTAGAACAGGCAGAAATAAATTCATCGCAATGATTCAGTTTCGACATTGAAGAATTGAAATGCCTATTATTAATTGTTATGACTTTATGTCACGTACGAGATTCGACTAGTTCAGTATTTATATGTAGTGCCATACACTTACCGGGGTCGACTGGTTCAGTATTTATATGTAGTGCCATACACTTACCGGAGTCGACTTGTTCAGCATTTATATGTAGTTCTACACACTTACCAGAGTCGACTTGTTCAGTATTTATATGTAGTGCCATACACTTACCGGGGTCGACTGGTTCAGTATTTATATGTAGTGCCATACACTTACAAGAGTCGACTTGTTCAGTATTTATATGTAGTACCATACACTTACCGGAGTCGACTTGTTCAGTATTTATATGTAGTGCCATACACTTACAAGAGTCGACTTGTTCAGTATTTATATGTAGTTCTACACACTTACCGGAGTCGACTTGTTCAGTATTTATATGTAGTGCCATACACTTACCGGAGTCGACTTGTTCAGTATTTATATGTAGTTCTACACACTTACCGGAGTCGACTTGTTCAGTATTTATATGTAGTGCCATACACTTACCGGAGTCGACTTGTTCAGTATTTATATGTAGTTCTACACACTTACCGGAGTCGACTTGTTCAGTATTTATATGTAGTGCCATACACTTACCGGAGTCGACTTGTTCAGTATTTATATGTAGTTCTACACACTTACCGGAGTCGACTTGTTCAGTATTTATATGTAGTGCCATACACTTACCGGAGTCGACTTGTTCAGTATTTATATGTAGTTCTACACACTTACCGGAGTCGACTTGTTCAGTATTTATATGTAGTGCCATACACTTACCGGAGTCGACTTGTTCAGTATTTATATGTAGTTCTACACACTTACCGGAGTCGACTTGTTCAGTATTTATATGTAGTGCCATACACTTACCGGAGTCGACTTGTTCAGTATTTATATGTAGTTCTACACACTTACCGGAGTCGACTTGTTCAGTATTTATATGTAGTGCCATACACTTACCGGAGTCGACTTGTTCAGTATTTATATGTAGTTCTACACACTTACCGGAGTCGACTTGTTCAGTATTTATATGTAGTGCCATACACTTACCGGAGTCGACTTGTTCAGTATTTATATGTAGTTCTACACACTTACCGGAGTCGACTTGTTCAGTATTTATATGTAGTGCCATACACTTACCGGAGTCGACTTGTTCAGTATTTATATGTAGTTCTACACACTTACCGGAGTCGACTTGTTCAGTATTTATATGTAGTGCCATACACTTACCGGAGTCGACTTGTTCAGTATTTATATGTAGTTCTACACACTTACCGGAGTCGACTTGTTCAGTATTTATATGTAGTGCCATACACTTACCGGAGTCGACTTGTTCAGTATTTATATGTAGTTCTACACACTTACCGGAGTCGACTTGTTCAGTATTTATATGTAGTGCCATACACTTACCGGAGTCGACTTGTTCAGTATTTATATGTAGTTCTACACACTTACCGGAGTCGACTTGTTCAGTATTTATATGTAGTGCCATACACTTACCGGAGTCGACTTGTTCAGTATTTATATGTAGTTCTACACACTTACCGGAGTCGACTTGTTCAGTATTTATATGTAGTGCCATACACTTACCGGAGTCGACTTGTTCAGTATTTATATGTAGTTCTACACACTTACCGGAGTCGACTTGTTCAGTATTTATATGTAGTGCCATACACTTACCGGAGTCGACTTGTTCAGTATTTATATGTAGTTCTACACACTTACCGGAGTCGACTTGTTCAGTATTTATATGTAGTGCCATACACTTACCGGAGTCGACTTGTTGAGTATTTATATGTAGAGCCATACACTTACCGTAGTCGACTTGTTCAGGATTTATATGTAGTTCCACACACTTACCGGAGCCGACTTGTTCAGTATCTATATGTAGTGCCATGCACTTACCGGAGTCGACTTGTTCGGTATTTATATGTAGTGCTACACACTTACCGGCGTCGACTTGTTCAGTATTTATATTTAGTTCTACACACTTACCGGAGACGACTTGTTCAGTATCTATATGTAGTGCCATACACTCTACACACTTACCGGCGTCGACTTGTTCAGTATTTGTATGTAGTGCCATACACTCTACACACTTACCGGAGTCGACTTGTTCAGTATTTATATGTAGTGCAATACACTTACCGGTAGCGAAATATCGTCGTCTGTAATTATTTGGTGTGGGATATTGGCACCAACATGGGCTCCTGTGTTTATCTCCACCTGGTAGATAAAGATGTGTTCGTCAGTATCGGCTGTGGTATATCACATGTGTTATGACTTTATATATAAGGGTATTACTTTTATTAATTTTTTTTTAGTTTACACCATTAAATACAAACAGTTGGACATTACGCTACACATCACTTGTTTGCTAGGAAGACTTTATGTTGAACATGTTGTTGGTAATGATATTAAGAACTCAGTATGACCAGAGACGTAAGTATACATGTAATATATACGTCTCTGGTATGACTGCATGCCTATACAGGTTATGCTAGTTAGTAACAGCACAGGCACCAACCCAATATGATTCATTTAAACAACTGGAAAGCTCTCCACACATCCCTTCAATAGCATCTATTGATGATTTAACATTTTTTAAATTTAGAATTACCACCAAAATATGAGATATATTTTATTCATTTAAAAATATCCCTAATTGAGTTAATGGAGTTATCTCTTTTTATTTTAATTAAAACTATTTCTGTTAGAAATAGGTTTAATTCATTCAAAGATATCTCTGTTTGGGTCAAAGATGATATCTTCATTTTTTTTTAGCTATACGTTAATTTAGATATCTCTAAAACCCTTTATTAAGTATAATATTAAGTTATTCTGCCAGAAAAATGTGATAGATATATATATAAACGTTCCCCGTATCTCCGACTACTGTATTATTTATGGACTACAGATAATAACTTGCGAACCGCTTTGAGACGACCTACGAAATAGGTTGTGATAAAGCGGTGTATAGGAACCTCGAACTATTATTATTTATGAGCTAAATCAGGCGCGACCACCTCTCTCGTGCTATATGTTGATCGCGTCGTACTTGTTAATGCAGAGTGGACATCGACGGCCAATTATTAGCGTGTCCGACCACATCATAACCTTCCGACCTTGACCGTCAGTGATCGGTTCTATGACGGACATGTGGTATTATTGAACCGTACCTTACACAGATATGTTGCGGTTTTAAGCGTTCGTAGCTACAAAAACACAAAGTAGTCAGTTATGTATATAGCAGTAAAACATTTAAAGTAACCTAAATAATGAGAAAGTAATTGTTACGTTGTTAACGCTATATATGAGAGAAAACAGATGCTCAATGGCGAAAGTTTACCCCTTTATCAATCCCTTTGAATTTTATTTTTTGAGATCTATTTTACTTTTGTTTTTGCGATGAAATCATTTGTTTCCCCGAATATCATTGTCTTTTCCACGGTCAAATAAAATAATATTAGTAATTCTCATAACAAATTGTCAACTATTTCGAAAGAAAAAAAAAGTATTTTCTCATTCTGAATAAGCTCGGGTTGTCTGTCTATAGAATACTATAACACGTGGAAAAAGAATTGATGAGCAAAGAGTTAGCCATAAATTGAATTAATCCGTAATACATCAAATTATTTTAGCATTGATACATTGTAAGAGTATTTGTAATGAATTGATAAACATGAAGATAATTTCTAATTAATTGAAAATTTGAATGATGACCATTTTTTATGGCAATAGATCTACATCACAAAGATGAAATTGATGTATGTATATATCCTCTTTTGGCTCTGTATTCTAATGTGTCATATTATCTAGTCGAAAATGTCAGTCGGTCAGTGTTACGCACGGCTGACTCCGCCCTAAGTGTTAATTGCAGGTTCGTGTTTCTATTGTAAGTTCCGGTCGCGCGGAGTAAGCTATGGTATGTGACATGGGCCTCAACGTAATCACAAACTTTATCTCACCGATTCCTCCGTGTACCATGTATCTGTCACTCCGGGTTAATTATGAGTTAATTTATTAATTAATGCAAACACGTAACCCCGTCACGTGCCTGTCATTGAGCAGTACTACACGAATCACTTAAGACTGCCATTGGCATTCATGGTTATATTAAATGTAAATAATATGTCAATCTGACCTGACGACCTATCACTTACTGCCGATCCGTAAGTTACGTCACAGATTGATTAATAACCTTTAACTATCACTAATGTTATGATTTAATGATTTTTTAAAACCACGTTGCTGCCCCATATCAAGTATAATATATACCAGTTCACTTGTCTGGTATTGTAATTAATTTCTGTTAGAAAGACAAGGGTCGGAACAGGTATAAATTTCACATTTTTTTAACATCATTTAACATATAATCGTTATTATCATAAATTAATTTAAATAATAATAAGCAAAATAATGTCGGTCTGGGTTTATAGAGACGTTTTAGTTTGTTCCTCAATTCTAAAAGCTTTCATAAATCTAGTTTCAAATTACATGCTTGTCATACATATATTACTGTTTAAATCCAATAATCTGAAGATCGGATTTTCCAGGACAAGCCCGTCATGCTATGAGGATGATCGTAATCCATCACAGAAATGTAATCTACATCCGGGACTGAAGTGTTGATAGCACTCCTTTGTGTCATAACGATTTACATATTAGGCGTAACATGAATCACATTCATTCTCCTTGCTATTACTATCATGCATAATTTTAATTTTAATTAGGATGGCAATGAATGACACAAGCTAGGGCAAACACTCAAAGTCTACACAAAAAACACCACAGGAACTTGTGAGACAGACAAACGCACAAAAACCATAGGCGGAACTGGGTGTTCCAAAGGGGTAAGCGTTTCAAACACATGTGGCACCTGGTAATAAGGATATGAAAACGACTTTTCACATTCTTCAAACGGTAGATTGACGTGCATTTGGAAGGAAACCCTGATTATTAAGTTTAATGGTCAAAATATGCAGACAAATATAAGGAACGTTCTTAAACTTAATAGGCTCTGTTAGAAAATGTTCTGTTTGAACTGACCATGTAAGTGCTACGTTTTGATAAACCTTGAGTAGTATTGTAACGTTTGTAGGAGACCAGAATATAAACGATATGGGCACTAAACATTTGCGTACAATGTTGTTTGATAACTTTACCAATGTCATATATTTTAATTTTACTGCAAACGTCCATATACTAGCGGTAATCTTATTTCAGCGCCTTTCGCGCTTTAAATATTGCGCTTGATAATTATAAGTGTATGGTATTATGAGTTAATCTCAAAGCATCGGTTAACAAAAAGGTTAAAAATCCCATTCTGGCGGGCTATAGGATAACCAGGACATTACGAGTTCTTTGTGTGGTAAATGAAAGTCTTCCTTTCAAATAAGGTGATTTGTTTTACATTTTTACAGTCAGTAGATACGTGTGATGTAATATTTTACACAACATATCTCGGAATGTCATTTACCAGTTCTTCTTCGTGATCGTCCAGTTTGTCGAGGTTGCCACTGAAATGGAGTCCGAGGAGTATACCACTGACCGCCAGCACACCCATACTGCCCACCAATACCGAGTACCCGACCATCCGCTTGGCGCTGGACGTGGCCTTAAGGATTGCATCCTGTCAACATCAATATAACAGGTAACCATAAAAAACAGTGTCAGTTATGTTATTTACAGTATTACTGATATATACATATATAAGCTTTAAATGAATTTAAATAGAATTCAAAATTGTTATACCAACATGGCCTCAGCTACATTATTTGAAGTAGTGGTGGTTACTATACAACTAATGTAATTTTATATTAAAACGGAAGCTTTGAGGTTAAATTATTTACAGTAATACTGTTTTATTTTCAATTACTGTTGTCATTAAAACGCAGTATGGTCAAAGTTATCTCATTAGATAGTACAAATGCATACAGTAAAGGTACACATAATCCTGTCACATTTTCTTCATTCTAAAACGACTGAAATACAAGTGATCTTTTTAAAAATAAAAACAAGAAATGTACCCTTTAAACACTAGCTGGAGGATAACCGTCCACCTGGACGACTGGTGGTAGCTATCGTGATGAGATTGATTGCTATACACTTACTGGTACCACACGAACAGTAGATGCAAACGTATTTCGTTTAAAGTTGACACACGCAATAACACCAAGTTTAATGGCACATATGTATTCACATATATAATTAGTCATTCACATATGTATTCACATATATAATTAGACATTCACATGTGGCGACATAAACTACAGATATGAACGTTTAAACACTTGGGCTTCGTGTACATTAGTATGTTACTCGTCATGCACATTTATTAAATTAATTCACCACCATACAATATAGTTTATTGTAGGACTTCGTCTTTACAGGTGTATGCTATTAAAGGGTAAGTATGAATACTACGTTTAAGATGAATTATTGTTTGTAGCCAATGCTTTTTAACGTTATAGAGTGTTTATGGCCATCTGCTTGTCTCGTTGTATTTCTACATACGTTTCTGAACACTTGAGACAGGAATGTCCTTCATTTGACCTTTAGTACCGTCCAGGTCTCTTAGATGGGCGAGTTGATTATATAGTGCAGTAACTATCTACTTATGTAGATATCTGCACCAACTCGTACTTGGTATTCAAGCTTGTGATTAGATATAGTTTACTCCTAGTTTAGCATTGATGTTAAATACCATATATTAGTAATAAATGTTGATTATTTTCCAGTCTACGTTGCCGAATTGTCAGTTTGTCAGAGAGATCTTTTCACAAATTTATTTAGAAATCTCACATATAAAGTTGATCGCGTCGTCACGATATTTAATGGGTTTGTTTTTCGTTAAATATTATATTCACGCACACGTTTGTTTTACGCTGTTTTTTTCTAAACCTATACAAACTAATCGCAAAATTTACATGAAATATATTACTTCTTACTGCTGCAAAAAAAAGTTCATTGATTTTTCATTGTATTTGCTTGATGGCAGCATTTCTACCTGCGTGTTGATAGTCTTCGTTTTTCAAATACTGTTTCGTATGTTGATAAATAACTGTGTCAGGTTTGTTGTTGCTTCTTTCGTGAAGTATGCTTTTATTTAAAGAAAATAAGACGTAGTAGCCATGTCACACATTCTGATTTATATATCAACTTTCTCGGAGTAGTATTGGGGTCTCTGTTTCATATGTTATAGTTACACAGAGTCGTTAGTGTTTATTAGAGATCCCGTCTAAGGCTCTCCTATACATAAGTCAGGTCTGTACGCATAGATAACCATACACACAATGTCCTATTCTATTGTAGCGGAAATGTTTGAACATGCATATGCACGTGTCAATGAAGGCTTTTATGTGCATCATAAAACAGAAACTCATTAAGGTAAAAGATTATATCATTTGTACACGAAAAACGTGAGAAAGATTTATAAAAATTACGTAATGCAAATATTTCAGTCAATACACAGGTGATATAGGTAGCTATACCTAATTACTTATTCAGATTGGCAATTTTATTGATGCTTTATTAGGTTTAATTTGCTGTGTATGAAATTTCCATGACAGAACGACAAAAACTTGCAGGTGTTTGTCAAATAAAGATGTCTTCTTTATAAACCATGATTTGCTAATACAACGTTAGATTTGTTCTGCACAAAAAAAAAATATGACAGGTTGCATAAATTATGTCGAAATAAAAAGCAAGTCTGACGCAGTAAATTAGAAGATAAAACAAAAGCATTATACATATTGTGAAGTAGTGTCGTAATTGGTACAGGGAACTAATAATGCTTATATGATTTTCTGTATCCAGGACTTCATACTAGTTTAGTGCCTAGGTGTTGTCCGAGGGCTACGTACGATATGACATCACTGCGAGTCTGACATGTATACATCTAAAGGTTAACCTTTTATTTATGTAACGAGAGATTGTATGAACATTTTAAACGAAAGGTTGAAAAACGTACAATTAATTATAATGCACACACGATGACGTCATAACATGTGACTAAAGTGCATTAATTAAACACACCACGTCATGCTATGATTAATTTCATATGTGGACCTCAGCTGGTCACCCTGACATCATGTAATATTTTACTTATTTAAAAGGTAAACATTTTTTAGAAATAGAAATGCAAATTTTACAAAACAATCATTGGCTCTGTCGCTGTTGTACTCATGTATACCCCTAATATCTCTGTGTATACAGAAAAGTAATATCATTTTGCCTTCCTTTCAAGAGAAAGGGGGAAACTTACTACAAATCTTAACAAGCTAATGTGTCTCCTTACATCGTAAAAAGGATATCAGTTATATAGGTAATAACTCTCCAGATATCAGTTATATAGGTAATAACTCTCCAGATGCATGGTCATGTTACTTGGAATACAAAATTAACAAAAATTAACTATTTTTACATATTTGCTGTCAGCTAAAACTTCCCTACTTTATGATATGTTCGTGGATAGTTTTTTGTACCTTTGAACTGTCAATAAATTGTATCTGGATAACCAACCATAAAACAATTTTGTTTCAGAGATTACAATTCTTTTGTAAAGGAGATAATACCAGTGTAGGACATATCCCTAAATTAACGTAGAATGAAACACCCTTTTTATATGTCTACTATAATTAACTCATCTCAATGTAATCGCTCATCATAAAGTCAGATCGACATCTACTCATCCTTACAATAAAATATGTGTTTGAAAATGATATAGAAAAGAACAAATATATAACTTAATAATCTTTAGCGATTTTTGAGAAATGTATCCAAAAAGAATTTAAAAATTAACAGGCTAGGAATGATAAAAATGTATGCGGTCAACATATACAAATACGAACACTGTAAGTGTTAAAACTGTAGAGTTTAGACTGTGGTTCAATAAAAGATTCACATAATTTAAGTATTTCCCCGATACTAGTACGAAAATACGTATTTGTGTTTTTAGTTATAATTCCCATGTTAATCTGCTGAATTTGGGTGTGAATTTGGATTTTCACCAACTTTAATCAAGGTTGGGCATATCAACAGAGCGCATGCTTGAAAACATCTAATATCAAATGGAATGAGAAGTCACTCGTTCTACATCTTTAAAAGAAATATAACTTTGGTAAAGAAAACCTATTTTGATAAGATCATGTTATAAATGTAACGCATTATTTCAAATCTGTGAACCATTGTTTCGTCGTTAAGACTAAAACCACACACGTCCTTTTTATGTTTCTGACTCACTACCGCACTGTTGCTTTAAATAGACATAGATGCGTAGGAGTACAGAACAGCCGCACATAATGAGTTATTATTGCTAAATCAGCATACAAAAACTGGAAGCTTTCGGCCCAGGTAAGTGTTATGTGATGTCGATACACATCGGACACCGTTGTGGCGACCCTTTGTCACCAGTCGGACAAGTGCTACATAGCATTATAACACGAACTATGATCTACTAAAGCGGGTTTTTTAAAATTCAGAACATGATAAATGACAAAAAAATGAAGTCATAGACTGTTGAAACACGTCAGCACTTTTATATAGAAATTAACTAAAAGTTATGTATCTGAAAAAAGAGCAAAAACCTGGGACAACATCTGCGAATTTGTCAGTAGTGACACACGTCAGTTATCTTCGTAAGGAAGATTACGACAAGTAGTCATAATAACAATGATTTATTATCTTAATATACTTGCCATGATTTAAATAATTCTTAATTTGTCTACGTTATGAAATGTTTGAAACTCAAACTTGACGTTTTTGATGACAAAGATTAAAACACTCTTTTATTGCTTTTATTTCAATTAATGTTAAAGGAATGAATATACAATATCTGCACACCTTATGTAAGTTTGAACTATACATCATATTGTTTTGGAAAATACATCAGGCAACGATTTCCTACATGAACATTTAGAGTACTATCCTGGTTGTCTGGACATATAAATGATATACACACACAAGCCATGTATATTGTATATGTAAGGTAGTGCATTTGCTTACCGTTACAATATGATATTAAGAAGTGTGTATTAACTTACCTTGTTAACGAGACAATAATTCCAAGTTAGGGAATAATATTCCAGGTGGCTGTACCTACCTTAGAGTTAGCGATCTCGGGGTCCACGTACTTGTGACTGATACCCATGGTTGGTGTTGAGTGGTTGTCACAAGGGATCGAGCACGGTAATGTGTTTTCAACACTCGTTATCACCTCCCGTTATATATGCACTGTAGACTTTGCTGGGGCGGGCCAGCTAGAACCAACCATCCAATAGTTGGTCTTGACAGCTTCAGAGGACACCACCATCTTATGTCATTCATTATTGAAATATCCTAATAGTAAGTTCGCGAAACAGGTGTAATGACGTATTTTATTGAAATGCGGAACTTCAGTTCTAGCTAAGAATGCAAATAACATTACATATAAAGCAGGCGTCATGGAGTTTGTAACGGTAGCCTGTTAATGAAAAAAATACATATTCATATTGATAATGTTTCCTTTAACCTTTCTGCTGAAAGAAGGAATGATTAAACATCAAGTCCATCTTCATGTATATTCATATTGATATGATCTATCTGGATGGCATCTGGACTTTCAAAAGTTATTGCTGCATAAACAGTATATACGATATCATATCAAATAAGGTCGGTATCAGTACATGTAAGTCGCATTTCCATAATCATATAGATACTGCGTCTATTCTAAAACTGTATGGAATGTTGAAGTGTTATTCAAATTTATATTCGACAGTTAGTCACAATAAACAAGCACCTTGATTGATCTATAGGTAGACATTGATGTATTCCAAAAAGAATGGGCCAATGTTTTACTAAGTCTTCTATTCACTTTATTACTTTTCCATTATGAGTAGATGATATATATGAACAAACATTGCAGAAATAAGTATTAAATTCTGCTACCTATATGTAATATATGCCTAATAAACGAGTTGCATTACACCTCACACCAGGTATCATAAAAAATCAGATTAATGTCATTTGTGAACTTATTTTCTGAAATGAAGTGCTTTGTTTTGTTGGACATAACATTTAGATACCAAACACAAAATGACACGAAAGTGGAACATATTGTTAACCTTCTTCCTGAAGATACATAGAGGTTACACAAAGCGAGTGTCTTTCTGTAACTTTTGAAAATTAACTAACGAGAGTGAAATAAATACCATATTCAACAACCACGAGTCGTGTGATCTGTTTCTACCACAATCTCGTGATCAGTCGGAAATAACATACACACATGTTTGTTGACAAGGCTGGCGCAGTGATATGACCCATATGTAAAAAGTCACTCATTAATATTCAAAAATTACTTTTTTTTTACAAATTTATTTATTGTCAAAATTAATGTTTCGGCAACAACTTAATGAAAAAATAAAATAGATGAACGACTTTAAATATTGAGAGTAGCAGTATTGCATTAATTTATGTAAATTAACCACGGACTATATGCGCGTAAGCATATCGTACGAAGTCTGCCTCCCGCCAAGTGATGAACTCACCGTAACCCACCGTTGTAGACGAACTTATCGCTGTCAATATCCAAAACCATATAGGCCTACGTTTCTTCGTGACGGTTCTATGGTTGACGTTTATAGTGAAAGTTCAGCCATAGTCATGCAGACCGTCTAAATAGCAATAACGGGATGTTGGGAGAACGAAATATTTCCCGACACTGTTACAGATCGATCTTGTTTTGGTTTCCCGACCTGGACACGCGACGGTGTGACGTCGAAACGATATCGAGCGTCTGTAGCAATTTTGCCTGAAACTAGCGATCAAATCTTTGAGTTTCATCTTTTAATATTGACTTAATAACCCCCTTTTCCGCATAACCTCACAAAGTCACCAACATTTGTCGGATGTTGACAGCCGACGACGTAAACAAAACAGCAGGTGGCAAAAAGCACGTGGAAAAAGTCTTCCCGGTCAAAGTTCATCTTCTCGACCAATCAAAACTCTTGAAGGTCATATACCACGTGTGGTATATAACTCATATTTATCTAACAGTCTGCGTGTTTATACAATGATCTGAGAGTGGAATAACACAGCGTATTGTGGTAGAAAATTAGTATTGGTGTTAGATTTGCATACCTACAAGATGTCTTTTTCTTAATTTTGAAAGCATTTTTTTTTTTTAATATTTAATATGGCAAATGTAGAAAAAGCAAATAACAAAACAAAATAAACCCCCCCACAAAATTGAAATGTTTATTACTTAATATCATGCTAGCATTGTGTTGTTGTACTTAGCCAACTATGCCTGTAGGTTTTATTAACGAATATTTGAATTTACGATTTAAGTAAAACTCTATCAATGATGATATTACTTATTTATAGAATTGATATTAGGAAGATCATTTAGTAACTTGCAATAAGGTCTCCTCGCAAGTTGCGCAAAAATGTTTATCTCGCGAAAATAACACGATTTACTGTACTCTATTCAAGTCAGTATTTGAATAGAATGTCATACAAAATAACAATAGAAATAATATCCAGTTGTACTTGATGGAAATAAAACAAAACTATTTTCTAAAATAAAATGTATTCTTGCTAGCCAGAACATTTATCTTGGTAGAGTTAATTCAGTTTGTTTATGATTAGATACAAATGTAAACACGTATCGCTTCTGGATGTGCTTGTCATCATTATTGTCCCTCACTGACAAAAAGAACCAGATAAGAACAATAGGATCTCCAGTCTAGAGTAAGCTGTCATGTGGTGCCGAAGCTGTCCTTGTCTGATTATCATTGTGGGTGGGGGCCGAGGCTAATGTTAATATCCGATAGGGTTGGCCCTATCTTTCAAATATGATAGTTAATACTTGTGAAAACTCGTGTAATGTCACACCCCTTAGTTACAGCGATGTCGCCTTGCAGTTCTTTCTGACATCAATGACATGCAATTATGATTGATGAACTGCTTCGTCAAATAATTAAGAACGGATCAATGACAGGATGAGGTTGATGGTAATTTGTCTGAAACCATTACTATTGAGTCATCTGGAATAAGTGTAGAGTACATAGTCGATTAGAAGAATCCCGAATACTTGTCTCTTGAAGTACTAAATGGAACATATCAATTGGATGCATTTAAATCATTTTTTTTACGTTTCCCCGCGTCAACAGTACAAGTGAATAACATAAAAATGTTAATAATATGAGAAATATTATAATGCTGTTACGATCATACGCTAAATCATATATGATTCCAGACAAGACACATCTGTGCTGATGTTCGCTTAATGAAATGTTTTAATGGCATTTTATGATGTCACACACCTCTTTATTATGTTATCAAATTAAATTTGACGTTGCATGCTAGAAACCGAAAATTATTTCCTAAACCACACGTACTCGGCAATCTGGATCATTCGCGATATGTTACAGACGAGAATCATAAACAAATGCAAGGTTATAGCCTATGACCTTGAACAAGATTTGCAAGCTATGTGCAAAGCTGATTTTATACAATCACTTTGGGATTTCTTTTGCGACGGCGTCATATTAACTGTCTCTATTTTGTAAACAATCGACGCATTTTATTATTTTATAGCCCACCCTACACACCACCCTTAATTCTGTTTTCACGATGTTATTTTTTGACAGGCGTAATTCTGGCGAATCGCCACCTTAGGTTGTAAACTTTTAATAAGCATCCTTATGGTTGGTTTTTTCATGATGTCAATTTTTGACAGAGTTGTATTTTTCATGGTGTCTTTTGTAATTGTCATGTTATGATGCTTTTTAAATAATATTGTGATAATAAAAGTCTTCGTATATGATGGCCTTATTCAATTCACAGTTACTAGTTGAGTATTTTGTGGAGCAGGAATAAATGCATTTTATATTACTGCGCTGTACTGGATAAGAAGACACACTCTTTGGTAGAAGAATTCAAAACCTGATTGACCAGGCTATGCATTGTTTTAATGTCATTCTATCCAATCCACCTAGTTCACAATCTCTATCGCAAAAATTAAAGAACCGTTTAGATAGATCTAGATTTAAAAAAATCATAGTAATAATTATGCATAGATAAATTAATAAAGATACATAACATAAAATAAGAAATAAATGAAATAAGCAAAAATAAATATAAGAAATCAAAATTTCATAAAACGTCAATTAAGTAGGATATCTTGCATGCAAAATTAATAATAGAATAACTCTAATTGTACAATAGCGCATTGAAGTACTGTTTAAATAACATAAGGCGTTGTGTAAATGTTCAACTGTGTTTACAGTATACATAACCATGAGTAAAGTACGTATTGGACTGTGGTAAAACAAAGAAGTAGCGACGGAACAAAAATATCTTCGTGAAAAGTAACAGATTGTATAGCTAGCCTATTTAACATTCAATACCTTAAAGAGATAGGGATTTATCTCATGAGCTAATTTAGAAATCTATGTTGATTCAAGAGATATCTCATAAACAAAACAAACATCTCATTAATCTTTATTATATGACATATTAACATAACGTTAAAAGATATCTAAAATTCACTTAGACACACATTGTATATCTTCAATTCATTAACGATATCTCTATTTGAAAAGATATCTATTTCTTTTAGAGATATTTCTAATTCAATTTAAGATATCTTGAATACTTTTGCGACCCCTTTTTGAGTATCAAATGTTAAGTGTGTTAGCCATAGCATTGCGTGTAGCTGTGTGAGCAATGCTAGTACTGACCAAATAAGATATTGAGAGGTTTTTATCCACTGACTCCGTGATAAATGATCGACAGTGCCTGCCTGTTTAACATTATTCGCCCCGGAGTAGGACATTGTCTGTCGATGGTTCTTGACATGTAGATAATAAGTATAACGTTATTTCTAAGAACGACTGCCTGTCCAATTAACATATCAGGAAGGATAGAAGTGTCATTGATATGACAACGTTAGTTTAATCAACTTTCGAACAAAGCTCGTATGTGTTCATTGAAACATGACGAATCAAAGATTAATTTCAAAGTCTAAAATTCGTATGACAGATTGATTAAATTCATAAGATTTATTGAAATTAGAATTGAAATAAAAAAAAAAACCATCAATCAACCAAGGCAAAACTATTAGATACTGTTTTACATGTATATTTTTGTCTAAAGTTTCAATTTTGTAGAAAGGCACTGACACATCCTAACCCTTCGATACACCACTTATGTATTAAATATGATGTA